TATAATAATATTTTTTATTTTCCTTTCTTTTTTCTTTTATTTTCTGTTCATAATCAATCTATACAGTGCATGAGCAAGAAATACTACAATTTCCTTAATCTGTGTTCTCTAAATTAACATGAATGACTAAAGAACATTGATAGAAAAATGCATGATTATAATAATATTTGGGAGGGTGTATAGAACACTGACAACAATAACTGGGAAACATAGATTATAATAATGTGCATCGAAGTGTGAGCGTAGAGTGATGTAAGAGGGGAAGCACAAGTCAAAAAAATTAGGTACGTGGTCTATTCCATGTAAATGCCTCCAGCAGCCTGGATTCCCGATTCCGGCCCCCCCATCTCCCGTACTACTTCCATAATACATTTGTCTTTATACCAAACAATTAAACCTTTTTATTGTTCAATCATCAATTAATATTTTCGGACAATGTCATAGGTTTAAATACAAATGTTAATGTGTATTATCAATACATCAAATATTAATATAATGTGTTAACTTGATTATATAGGTCTTAGCGTTTTTCTAAATAATACTGATTTTGTCAAAATTATCTATATATATATATAAACAATCGTTCAAAACAAGCTAAACTATAAATACGTTTAACTTTTTTATTTTATACTTTGGAAAAGGAGTTTGAATGAAAATTGGGGTCTTAGGAATATTTGAAAGAGTTTAGATATTTTATTTAAATCAATAAAATAATAATAATAATAATTATTATTATTTTTAATTGTTTTAATAAATTTTGAGACACCCGTATAGCTAGAAAAACGTTATTGATTAAATACATAATTAAACAATGAGTTTTATCAATTAGTATCTAGGTACTGTTCAAAGATTTAATGATCTGTTCTGATAGTTAGAATAAAATAACGCAATATGATACTTTTTATTTTATTATATTTTTAGTATTTCTTTATTTGATAGCCATATGATGTGATAATTTATCATATTTTAAAGTGTAAATCTTATTCAAATTAAAAATAGACGACACGATCTATTTAATTTATAATTTTAGTACGAATCAAATATAAAATCGTCACAAAAGATTATTCTTGTAACAGTGCCACCAAACCCATTCTTTTTTTTTTTTTTACAAATTACAGAAAAATACATTAATAGTGTTTTTCAAAATAGCTTATTTTTTCTTAATTTTTTTAACCAACATCACTTATTAACATTTATCTTAAACAATTTATCAAAAAGTTATTTGTTTTTGCTCCAATTCAATTCAAGATACTACTGTTTCCCATCTTCACATATTTTACTAAATTTACTGAACAAAATTTAAGTACAGTTTCATGAAAGCTATTTTAAATTAAAACTGACATTTTATTTTAACAATTTCATGCCAACCTTAAACACTAGTTTTGATTTTATGAGTTAGAAAACTAAAATAAAAATTTTAAGTAAAAAATAACATGAAAAAAATAAAAAAAATTACACGTAATTTCTTTCTTGATGGAATCTCTCTGTGGTCAATGATGAGGAAAAGAAGAACCATCCCCACTCCACCGCCTTAATCGTTTGATATGGAAAGCTTTCTGGCGCAGCTAGGTCCCATGGTAGAAACCTAGAAGCAAAGGCAAGAACATTTTCAATCATGTTAGATTTGCATTCCAATTTAAGTTGCAAAGGTAGTAAATTTGATTCATATAGAAAAAATCTCACACCTTTCAGCAGTTAATAAACTGAATAATAATTGTGTAAATTCAGTTGAGAAAAAGGCGTTAGATTAATTCACACATTATTTTCATTTTTCTTAAGTTATGCAACTTGTTTCTACATTAATATTTTACTTTTTTTATTAATAATTTCAATTTATTTCAACTAGTATTGTTTATTTGTAAATATTTTCATTAAATAAATTGATTTTTAATATTCTAGTAATCTTAATCAATTTTAATTATTTTATATGACATACACACACATGATTTAAACAAATTTTTGTGTATTTTTCTTCTTATTTTTAAAATCATTATTTCTCTGATTTAATTTTATTTACCATAACAATATATTTATTATTACTATTGAAAATATTTACAATTTTTAAAAACTGTGTGAATTAGTTTTTTAACCTATCAAACAAAATGGGGCTACCATGATCTTATTTGTGTTTAATCTCTCATATTGATCAATAATCTTTATATTTGGACATTATAGTAAATATTAAAATTAAACAGAGAAGACTTTTGTTTTCTGGGAATATTATACTCAAATTATTATGTTTGATATCTATGGTTAAAATTAATAATTACTACTACAATTAAATATTTTATTTTTCACAATAAGCATGCTTTTTCCGCCATTAAAGAGGGAGACTCATTATGCTCCTCAAGAACAGCTCTAATTAATGTCGGCTTTCGTTTTGTAAAGTTGTGATAAATTTGATAAGTGGACTCTGGAAACTGATTGAGAATCCTAGGCCTTAAATAGCAATATATAGCTTTATCGAGGATTCATTTCAATAAATAATTTTTTATCTAAATAATTTATTTTTTACGTAACCATGCACTGTTTTTCTCTTTTATTATTGTTTCCAGTGTTTTTACATATATAAATGAGAGAAAGTATTAATAGTACAATAAAGCTATAATTTAATAAGTTAAAATAGATTATAATTTTGATTCTAACTTAATTAAGTATATTGTGAAAATTTTCGTGATTATTATTATTTTTATCTACTTTTTTCACATTAAGTCATATTATTATTTCAAACATTAATAAATAAATTTAATTATTTTAAAAATAAATTTAATTTAAAATCTAAATCATAATATTCTATCAAAGAGATATTTTAAATAATATAAATTTTAATATTTTTATATAATTTTGTTGAATCTCAATTTGACTTTTTATATAAGTGAAAAAATGGCATTGATCATAAAAGAAATAAAAAGATTAACAAATGAATCATTTTATAAGAAAAAAAATATTTAATGAAAAATTAGACTAAATAAAAATATATAAAAAATTAAGAATATAACTCAATTAGCCTATACTTTTATAATTTTAAATATTTCATCATTTATTAATCTATAAAAAAAAATTCTCAAATAAGAGATATTTTAAAATAATAGTAACAAACAATAATTTAGTGGGAAACACTATATACTTGTTTTTTAAAATATTTATCGTTTAATTTTAGACTACGAAAATTATTAAATAATTAGTCTCAATCGAGTGAAAATTTAACGTCGTTAAACTAAATGTTATTCAGTATATGGTATTCAAAATATTGTCGCATTAGTTATTTTTCTCATCTTATTTAAACTAGGTGCAAAGATAGAACAAAATAAAAGAAGCCAACAGATTTATTTAAAATGTTAAATAAAATAAAACATAATTTATTTCTAAATTGGTAAATATTTTTTAAAAAACGGATATTAATTAAAAGAGTGTATATATGATCACTAAGCAAGAAGCTGAACCTTGTACTTGCTCACGTTACCCAACAGCCACCATCACTATTCATATATGGCCCCATCCATAAAAGGTGCAATCGTAGAAGAAGGCATATACTTGGAATTCTCCCCACTAATTGAGTTTTTAGCTCAACTATAAGTAGATTCTCCCTTGGTTGTAGTATACATATAGCATGAGTTCAAGTCCTATAAATTTATATTTTTGGTATACACGACACTAGACATTTATTAACAAATATAATAAAGATATACTGTTTAAAGCAATAAACACGTTATATCTAACACAAATGCATGTGAGGATGTTTACTTAAAAGCTATGATTAAGATAGAGAATTGGTTTAAGTTAAATTAAGCCACCCTCTACCTCTTTGTAACTAAATAGTAAGCAAAGTAATAAAAAAAGTATTATTACCCACTCAAAAGGTTTTACCAGGAAGAATGAGTCTCAAGAGCTGTACATCCGTCACTTTAACCAGTGCAGGCATAGAATTTAATGGCGTGATGCTTTGCCATTTGTCTCTCTCTAACTGGCAGGGTATAGCATTACAGGCATTCTGCTCAATCACTTTTTCTTAAGAGAATTTAACAACAATATTTTTTGTCTCTCTACATAACTTATATATAATGTTTAAAATATTAAGAAGGAACAGAATAAGCTACACCATTTCATGGTAGTACTTTTATATCTCGTAGGTATGGAAGAAGATAGTGTAAGGAGAACTTATAATTTATGCTTTACCAACCATTCAACAAAGTACTTCAATCCATGCTACTTAATCACTTCCTTTGCCCTTCTCTCTCTCTCTCTCTCTCTCTCTGATACTCTGAGCTAGAGTGAGTCTAACTTTTAAGAGTCGCGGTAGACTCGGATCCTGTCCCCCTCCCCCAAAAGTAATAATAATAACAAGTAAACAAAAGAATCAATATCTAATTTCATCTTTGACAATATGAAAAATTCTATTCCTATACATGTGTTTCATGATTTTTTCTACAATTCAAAAAGGTGAGAAAGGAAAGTCGACTAATATGATCAAATTATATGTATATGAATTACAAAAAATAGAATAATTTTGAAAAATTTTATGATTAGTTTGATAGTTTTTAATATGCAAAAGCCAATCACACATCTTAATCATCCATTAAATTAAAAATCTATTTTAATAAAAAGTTATATTTAATTAATAAATAGTATCAGTTAGACTAAAAGAATTCTTAAATGAATCTTTAAAAATAATAACCTAGTTCATTGAACTAGAAGTTTAATATTACTTGAACATCTAAAAAGTATTGTCCTATATAATTACTTTTATTTTTTATACATGTTTCTAAAAAAATTTCAAAATAAAATATACTAAAAATAATATCCTACTTTAAACATACAAAGAATATTTTCATTTTATATTTACAAGAATTAATGTGTGTGCCATCAAATTTATCACATGAAAAAAAAAATTAAAAAAAAAATCTGATTTCATTGACAGAATCAAGTAGTAGTCGCGAGACTCTTCTCTCATCCTCTGTCTGGTGTACACTTTCTTTTCTCTCTCACTGTCTGAAGTTCAGATGGGTGACCCATATGGGTTACAGGAGGATCTCCGGCGACTTATATCAGCGAGAACCCATTTGAGCACCACCAACACACATCTACTTGAACCACTGTGTGTCCACCATGCTCTAAGTGCTGTTGCTGCTTCTACTACTCCGCCCAATACCTATGACCCGATCATGGATGCCAACGCTTTCTACCCTCGCTCCTTCACTCACTTCACACACCATGACTATTCCTCTTCTAATGTAAACGCCACGACTTCTACTACTGCTGTTGCTGCTGCCACTGTCTCCGATCATGCTACTACTACTCCATTCTGCAGCATAGAGAGTGCAGAGAAAGGGTGGCTTGGGTTTGATTCCGGGAACAATAGGTGGCCCAGACAAGAGACCCTTTCACTTCTTGAGATCAGATCTCGTCTTGATTCCAAGTTCAGAGAGAACAATCAGAAAGCACCCTTGTGGAATGAAATTTCTAGGTATTTATATATATAAAATACTCTTAACACATATATTGATGTAGTAAACTTAAAAAACCCACCTTTGCTTTTGTGTTTGTTTCCCCAGTGAATGAGTAGGGAAAATGTTATGGTGGTGACTATAGTGAGGAATGAAGAAAGAAACATATATGGTTGTTGTTCTTCCTGTCTTTCTTTTTGTCTTGCTGATTTTGATTTTGATTTTTTGTGTGTGGGTGGGTGGGTGGGTGGGAAGGGGGGGGGGGGGTCTAATTCTCTCTTTGTGCTTGAAAATGACAGGCCATTACTTGCAGATAACTGGGAGATCCATGTGCTTTTTATTATCTATTTCTAGTTTTGTCCAAGAAATTTCACTGACTCAATGTGAATACTTTGCGCTGGTTTTTCTGTGAGTAAATCATTATGGGTGCAAGGAGTTCTCTCCCAGAAAGCCTGCCTTTGTTTTGCAGTCCTATTAACCTAGATGTTTTGCTGAGCTAGCTAGGGCTATGAATTGGAATTTATTTTGTTAATTCAAACTCAGAGATAATTGATGTTTCTGACAACTTTTACCAAGAGAGAATGTTTTCATTATTTTAATCCTCTGGCATTAAATATGAATGGTTAATGAAGAAACCTTGGATTTATATATAATTATACGAGCATTAATTCCATCACATGCATGATTAAAAAAAAAAAGACTCGTGGTTATGTTTCATTAGTTATTACGATTTTTAACTCCCCAAGGTTTCAACTATGAGGAGATATTATTGTCCTATTCTTTTACGGTTTTACCCCAAATTTAATCCAAAAACAAGAGGGTCGAAACAAAAAAGAAAGAGGAAATAATGTGGGGGGGGGGGGGGGGTTGTGATCGATGTGCCAATTAATCTTCTCATCCTTCACGTTTTATACATAAGCATTAAAATATATAGCTGTGTGATCTACGTGTTTAGGATAATGGCTGAGGAATTTGGGTACCAAAGAAGCGGAAAGAAATGCAAAGAGAAATTTGAGAATTTGTACAAGTATTACAAGAAGACCAAGGAAGGAAAAGCTAGTAGACAAGATGGGAAGCACTACAGATTCTTCAGGCAACTTGAAGCAATATGTGGAGAAGCAAATAATAATGATGCCTCGACTCCAGATAAAACTCACCGAGCTGGTGGAAACACTGCTAACATTCAAATACCAAGCTTGACAATTAACCAAGATCACAACGGTGACGTCTCTAATAATAACATAAAGTGCTCAGAGAGCCTCAGCATCTCAAACTCATCCGAATTTGAAACATCCTCATCTGAAAACAATGATGAGGATCTTTCAGCTGTTGCTTACATGATGAAGCAATCAAGGGAGAAGCAGAAAGGGTTAGACTTAGACCAGAAACAAAGTGGTCATAGGAGGGTAAGAAAAAGCTGGAGGGCTAAAGTGGAGGAGATAGTGGATTCCCACATGAGGAAGATCATAAAGACTCAAGATGCTTGGATGGAGAGAATGTTGAGGGTTGTGGAGCAAAGAGAGCAAGAGATGGCATCTAAAGAGGAAGAAAGGAAGAGAAAAGAGTCAATGAGATTTGACCAACAAGTGCATGAACTGTGGGCTAAAGAAAAAGCATGGGTTGAAGCAAGGGATGCTGCATTGATTGAGGTTGTGAGGAAACATATTGGGATAGAGCTTGAAACATTGCCATTGTATGAAGCTATGGTTGAAGAAGAACCACCAAATAAGAACAAGAGCCAGGGAACTATTGATGCCAATGAATATCCCAGTGAGGGTGTTGATCATAGAAGTAGTCGATGGACCGAAATGGAGATTTCAAATCTGATACAGCTAAGGACTGGTTTTGAACAACGACTCAGAGAAAATGGGTACTTAGAAAATGGCCTTTGGGAAGAAATAGCAGCAAAACTGGCTTGTTTGGGGTTTGATAGGAGTGCAAGTGAGTGCAAGCAAATATGGGATGAGATCAGCATGTCTCTTAGAAGGACAGTGGAGTATGATAGTGCCAAAACAAGGCCTTGGTGTTTGGGACTTAAGCTGACGGATGATGATGATCTTTGACACATTCAAGTAATTTTAACGCAGGCATCAGAGAGGTTAAGTGTATATGACACTTACTTTAGAGTTCTGAGCTAGCGTGAAAAGGAAACTTGTGGGAGAAACCAGCTAGGGCGTGAAAAGGGTTATCAATAACTAGGAAGTAGCAAGTTTGGCTCATTTGAATATCACAAGGTATATAGGTCTAGGCCAAGTGTTTGACTATATATATCTTAATATAACGTATGAGGACTCGTGCTTCAGTGTAAGCATTGACATTTAATTGTTGTTTCATTTTAGTTATGTCCATGCATCAAATGCTAGAGTTCAGTTATTAATTATGAGCTTCGCAAATTCTGATGTTTTGTTTATTAATTATCGATATATGTTTAACTGTTTCAGTTTGTAAAATAGTACAATAATATCCTGTGTATTCGTGCGGCAGCTGGTTTAAATTGCAGTTTTAAGTTTTTGATAAAGCTCATCGTTTATCTGGAGAAGGATTTTAGACTTCTAAGAAGAGGAGAAAAGAAAATTAAAGATGGGAGAGAGAAAGAAAAAGAAATAAAATAATTGGTTACAGGAAAATTGACCATTTGCATTTGGATTATCATTTCATATACAGTTTTGCTGTTTAATAAATTGTTAAAAATGAAAACTATAAATGATATTGTATAATATTTTTTTAAACATATACGTTTAAAAAATACACCCCATAGCACAAAACAGCAATTAAATTAAGGTGTTCTCATTTAAATGTTCACCTTTTCATAAATATTCATGTCTTTGTGTTTCATTATTTTTTTCTTTTAAAGCTTTTCATCTTTCCTGCTCTCTCTCTCTGCCATTTTTTTTCCTTGCAGGAAATGACTATTAATTTATCTGTGCAGCTAGGAAATTAATAACTTCAGATGTAAATAAGGCAGCACGAAAATGAAATAAACATGATAATTATGAAGACGTATCCCTGAACAAGAAAGATGTGGTCCAGGAGCAAAATATTATGTGGTTCTTATAAATAACATTTTATCATGAATCAATTTTTTTTATAAAATTCATACAAATGAAATTAGGAGTTAAACTTAAATAATTATATCATTTAATAATTTTTTTATAGAGTCTAATGTTGACTAATCCAACTAATAAATAATTTTATATTTTTTTTACAATGATTGTGTATATAATTTTTACTTGTTTTGAACATTTATAAGAATATTATCCAAAATTTTATATTTTAAATAAAATATTATACGTTTAAATAAAGTAATAAAGTGAAGTAGTTATTTATTTTATTTTTATATAAAATTTATAAAGTTAATTTATAATAACTTTTAAATTAATAACTAATTTAATTAATCACACACCTTATGAAAAAGGTTATTAATAAGCAAAAATATTGAAGTTTTACATTTGATAAGAATGGATACTTAGTTCATTTATACAATGTTTTTTGTGAAATATTTATTTATACATTGGCAAACAAGGGTTGGGTTTTTCAAATTGGATTTTATCAAATTTTTTTTTCTGTACTCTTGTATTAATGATATATAATATATATAGCAAAGGAGAGATGAAACAAGTCTGGTGAAGTAAAAACACTGTACATTTTGACTACAACTGCAAAAAAGAGAGATTATTTTATTTTATTTTATTATTATTGTGGTCAGGGCCTGATTATATTATTTGTCACTAACAAGTGATAATCATACAAACAAAGTATATCTAAGTTAAAAAAAAGTAGATTTGGTGAAGTTTATTTAAGAGCCATGAAAGGTGAAAAGGAAAATGAAGAAAAGAAGCGTACATGTGGAAGAACTTTATACTTCTGGCAGAGAAAGGCAGAAGTCAGCTAATTTTATGCCAATGCACTTAACTCGATGAAACTCAATTAGAAATATCTTTTATGGGGAAAAATATGTGACCATTCTTGTGAACCCTAATTGGTTATCTTTCAGGTAAAAACATAACGTAATTAGTATAGTTATAGTTCTGTCGAGTTATCAATTAGGCTCGTATAGTCTCTCTCTCTCTCCCATATTGTGTATTAGGTCTTTAAAATGCATAAGAGTAGTCATTTATTTAAAAATGCTACTGTTAATAGATAAATAATGTTTTGATTTTTTTTTTCTGTTTTCAAGGCATTAAAAGTATATATGTATTCCTTTATCATAAAGTATTCAGAGGAGTGATGTATTAAAAAAAATTGAGAGGGGTATATAGGGTACTCCATTACTTTGATATATATATGTATAGTTAAGTGAGTTGATCTCATTTTTGTTGAGATTTGTCTTTGGATCATGAGCAACCCATCCCGCACGAAGAGCTCGCTCAACTTAAGCCCAACACTTCAATAAAAGAAAACTTAAGATCAGCACTAAAAATAAAAGATGATTTTGTTAAAGTTAAATGGTGAACAATGATGCTGGCATTCTATTCTTAATGAAAAATAAATTGCCTAATTAAAATATGGTTAAAAAGAAAAATATTAATACTCAAAAAAATATTTTTTTTATAAAAAGATTAATACATTAAAAAAAATTAGCTTTATTAATAGTCAGTTGCACACTTGAACAACTATAAAAAAATTTATTAGAATTTTTCTCAACATAAACCTCTTACAACAAAATTTAAGTAATGAACAATTTTAACATAAAATTCTACGTTCCACAACATCATCTTTTTATAGAATTTTGGAGGGGGGCTTTTTTTAATAATTAAGCAAATAACTAGATTTATCTTCTTTTATAATAATGAAGAGTTTAACTTGAATTTGTATGAAAAGATTGACTTTAATTTATTTTTTTTACGATGGTGAAGAGTTCAACTTAAATTTATTTTTTCTATGAAAAATTTAATTTAAATTTGTCTTCTAATAAATTTAATTTTTAACAATTTTTTTATAGATATTACTGCAGATGACATAAGTTTTACTTGTAAAAATGTATAATCTTTAATTACACTGTAAGAGTATTTTTAATTGGTATTTTTAAAACATATAGAAAAAAAACTCCAATTATGCTACCAAAATCAAAACGTTTGCATTGGACTAAAAAAACATGATATGACGACCTCATTAATTAAAAAACAAAATGTTTCAGTTCATGTTAGATCGCTAATTAACTTGTCATAATTGCATTCTTTTTATAAATAAGGAAATGCATTTCTTTAACGTGTATTCTAATATTTTTTATAAATTTAATAAAATAAAAAATATGATAACATTTTTACAATTACACTTACGTAATTGCCTTTCTGTTTAAGTTCCAAATTGAAGCTTGAAAAAGGGAAGAGTAATCGTCGTCCAGTGGCGCCGCACAGTATCACTTTCTCTTGGTTTCGAAGTTGTCGTTTGGGCCTAAAACTGCGTTTGGACCTTTGCAACTTTAATTGTGAGGGGGTTCATGCAGTGCCCACCGACAAATTTGGCACATTACAAGAGTTTTAAGGTAATTTCTAAGTAATTAGCCACAACAATCATAACATCTTGTTGCAAATAATAGTTATATTATGTATTACGTTAAGTGTAATTATGTTAAATATTTTTAAAATATATATATTTATGGTAATTTTTTTAATTCAAACATTTTTGTGCTCTTCATACGTGCGAGTTTGACTTTACCACTATAATTGTTTGATTCGACTTTGGTGACAAGCTATTTTCATTCTTTCTCTTTCAAGACCCTATGATTTAATTGTTAATTACAATTTGTTAAAAGTAAAAGCAAGATCGTAAATTCATTTTGTTTAATAATTTCATTGATTTTCCTGTCCTTCTCTTTCAGTTGATTTCTTCCCTTTTTATCTTTTTTTGTTCTTTTAATTTCTAAGCACACTCTTAAAATACACTTTAATGAAATCTTTATCTAGCATAACAGTGTAATTTTGATTCACAGTTTGAGGAAAATGCATTCTTTTTCTTTTAAAAAAAACTAATTCTTTTATTAAAATTATAAAAAATTTGGTTAAAATAATTTGTTTTTAACTTTAAAAAAAATAACAACTATAATTATCTTTTAGAACAAGAAAACACTATCAAACAACATGTATATCAATAGGTTTTCAGCTTAACAAAAATATTTTTGAATTCAAATTTCAGTGAATAAAATTAACAAATAATTTAACTTGATTTATAAATACCAATTATACAATAAATTATAAGTAATCTAACTACCAAATAATACATTAATTTATATAGACTTGCTTTTTCATCAATTATTTTACTTATTTATCACCATCAATCAAACAAATATTAATCATTCATTATTTGGTAGAATGAAAAAATAAAATAAAACTATTAAAGTGTAAAAATATTTGTAAGAAGTAACAAAATAAAGACGCAAAGAGTGATATTAATTAAATGGGTTTTAAAATTGCCATACCAGTTCTTTTAAGTGAAACGATAAAGAACATGTTTAGTTTTCTGTTTGAAAGTTTCAAACTAGAGTTTTGTCATTTGTTTATATATTTTCCTTAAAATATTCCTACTTCTTTATAATTATTATTAAGTATGCATCAAATAAAAAAATATTTTATTAATTTCAATTTTAATAACTGAGTTTAAATATACACAAATAAAAAAAATTTATAAAGAAAAATATTATATTAAAATTATAAAAATATAATAAATACTCCACTTTTTAATAAAATTTTATTATTATTAACTGTTTATTTTTAATCTTAAGAGTTGAAATCAACAAAATTTATAAAAAATTAGTATATATTTATTATTTAAAAATTTTATAAAATTATAATATAATATTGGATATAAACACACAAATCAAACGTTTGAATAGCTTTATTCCTCATCTTTGGTAAGAGGATGTTTGGGTAAAAGTTAGAGGTTGACGATGGTCCCCAACTCCCAAGTAACTTTTGATGGCGAAGCAAGAATGTGGCGTTGACCTTAATTTTAATTTGGTTGCATGTTGAGTGCATGGCAATTACTGTGGTCAGTAATGCATTTAATGATTTTAATCTCATAACTGTGAGCCGCACCATTTGTTTTCTTGTGTTTAGTCATAAATATCCCATCACCTCCTTAAAATGATGGCATGTCAAAGTTCTTCAACTAAAGTGGTTGAGTCCATTAACTAGCGGTCAGCATCAGAGCCTTATGTCACACACACTTTATTTAACTTACTAGCTAGCTAGCTCAACCTACCCTCAACACAATTTCCTAACCATTGTTGCAGTAACCAAAAGTACTTATACACCTCACACCTACCTTCTCTGTTCACTTCAAAGTGCTTTAATTAAACCCACCTACAATTTCACGCTCCCTTCCATTCTTATACCCCCTGTGTCCCTCCACTTCACTTAATCAACTCTTCCATTTCTTCTCTCTTCAATATCTCTCAAAATGACAACTTTTTCCTCTTACTATCATCTCATCTTCACTGCCTTAGCTTTCTTTGTATCCGGCCTAATTTTCTTCCTTACCCAGAAAACTAAATCCAAAAAGCTCAACCTTCCACCAGGACCCCCCGGATGGCCTATTGTTGGGAACCTCTTCCAAGTTGCACGTTCTGGGAAGCCTTTCTTTGAGTATGTGAATGAGATGAGGTTAAAATATGGCTCAATCTTCACTCTCAAGATGGGTACACGGACAATGATCATCCTCACTGATGCAAAGCTAGTGCATGAGGCTATGATCCAAAAGGGGGCAACCTATGCTACAAGGCCTCCGGAGAATCCCACAAGAACCATCTTCAGTGCCAACAAGTTCACTGTGAATGCAGCATTGTATGGCCCAGTTTGGAAGTCACTGAGGAGGAACATGGTGCAGAACATGCTGAGTTCAACCAGGCTCAAGGAGTTTCGCAGTGTTAGAGACAACGCAATGGACAAGCTCATCAACAGGCTCAGGGTTGAAGCTGAGAAGAATAATGGGGTTGTTTGGGTTCTCAAAGATGCAAGGTTTGCTGTGTTTTGCATACTTGTGGCTATGTGTTTTGGGCTTGAGATGGATGAGGAAACAGTGGAGCGAATAGATCAGGTTATGAAGACTGTTCTCATCACATTGGATCCAAGAATTGACGACTATCTTCCAATTCTAAGTCCATTTTTCTCAAAGCAAAGAAAGAGAGCCTTGGACGTTCGCAAGGAACAGGTTGAGTTCTTAGTCCCTATCATTGAGCAAAGAAGGAGAGCAATCCAAAACCCGGGATCAGACCACACAGCCACAACATTTTCCTACCTTGACACACTCTTTGATCTTAAAGTTGAAGGGAAAAAATCAGCACCCTCTGACGCTGAATTGGTCTCACTATGCTCGGAGTTCCTTAATGGAGGCACAGACACAACAGCAACTGCAGTTGAGTGGGGCATTGCACAGCTCATAGCTAACCCTCAAATTCAAACAAAGTTGTTTGAAGAAATTAAGAGGGCGGTGGGAGACAAGAAGGTCGATGAAAAGGACGTTGAGAAAATGCCTTATCTTCATGCTGTGGTGAAGGAACTTCTAAGGAAGCACCCTCCAACACACTTTGTGCTCACACATGCTGTCACTGAGCCTACCACTTTGGGAGGCTATGACATACCCGTTGACGCAAATGTTGAGGTCTACACTCCAGCAATTGCTGAGGACCCCAGATATTGGTCCAACCCGGAGAAATTTGACCCTGAAAGGTTCATTTCCGGGGGTGAGGAAGCTGACATAACTGGAGTCACAGGAGTCAAAATGATGCCTTTCGGGGTGGGAAGAAGGATATGTCCTGGGTTGGCTATGGCCACGGTGCATATTCATCTCATGATGGCTAGGATGGTGCAGGAATTTGAGTGGAGTGCATACCCACCAGGGAAGAACTTGGATTTCACTGGCAAGTTGGAATTCACTGTGGTCATGAAGGAATCTCTAAGAGCAGTCATCAAGCCAAGAGGAGAAACACTGCAGTTGTAAATTTTTGCTGCTTTTGGTTTTTTCAAATCATTTATATAATATTATAACTATATATACATCATCATGTTTGTGGTTAATTACCATACAACTGCAAGTTTCATCTCATCATTATATATCTTAATTGGTCTTGTTTGTTGGAGAAATTTGTTCTGGAGTTGTCATAAAATGGATCTCTATTGGATTTTTACAAGTTGTCTTAGTTATGTATGAAAGTCCTTTTTGGAGCAATCCACGTCTAATTGTATACATAACTTTTCCTGTGAATGAAGTGAATGCTTTTCTCAGTTTCTTTTTTCTTTTTTTCTTTTTGGCTTTTAGAAGGCAAATTATGCATAAGTGGTCTTTGCTAGATGAAGTGAAAAGTTGTAGCCAAGATACAAGAATTTTGAGGTAACTGTAACTACTAAGGCTCTGATAGCATGAAGTAGTTGAAGAGGACAAGTAACTTGCAGGTTAAAAGTTTTGCAGAAAACGTGATGTACGAAACTGTGTGTACCCACAATATCGCACACAATGACAGCAGTATTTCAAATAATTGCTTCTCTCTCTATCTCTCTCCTTCACATCACATATTTTAATTTTCAATTTTACAAAATTTACTTATTCAATAAATTTTTATTAAAAAATATTTAATATTATCAATATATTAAATTACGTAATACTTTATAATCTTTAAAATTTGTTATATATATGATTTTTTTTATGTGCACTTAAACACTTATTAAAAATATATTATTATATATAGATACAAAAATTTATATAGATATAAAAAAATGAACTTACATAACCTTTCATATTCAGCATAGAGTGGATGATATTTTGAATTTATGATTTTTTTAGTTCAAGGTTAAAAAATTTTGCTCATGATTCATGATTTTTAGTGGTTCAGAAGAATTTTATATACCCAAAATTTCATATTAAATAAATTGATTTCAGACATTAAAGTAATATAATCTTACATAACTGTGTCAACTCTGATTGAGACTTTTGTATTTTTTATTTTAAATTTATTTATAATTATATGAGCAATACAATTTCTTGTTATAAAATTTAATTAAAATATATTAATTGTGTAAAAAATTCAGTATTACATTCATTCATTTATTTTCACATCACTGAAAATGATCATCCCTAATTTGATAACTCATGATAAAAATAAAAGATTTTTGTAGTGTTTCATAAAGATAACCTGAGACAAAATGCTCTCCTTTTTGGAGTTGAGGGGACAGAATGCTTTAAAGAAGTAGTCTCTCCAAGCACAAGTGGTCCAGACACCTCCTTGTCCCGTCCAAGTTACCTCTGTACTTGCTTTCCATCTTAACTCACTTCACCAGAGAGGACCTCAGCTTCCAACACCCAACTTTCAGAGATTCCTCTGTCAACCTTAACTTGTACTGTCACCAAAATCACCACAAAACCTTAACCTTGTGCTACTTCCCAACCACTGTTCTTTAATGTCTTAAAATTTTAAACTTTTACTTGCAATTTTGACTTATCTAAAAGATCGATGTGGTTATGTTGCTTTTGCTAATGATATCAATCAATTAACTTAGCTGAAGAATCGAGTGACAGGAAGTTTAGATTGGCATTAGAATTTCATAAACTTATTTATTGTGTTTTTGACTCTGCAGTTAATTTTAACGTAACAATGAACATATTATGTAATATTTGTGGGAAATTCTGATATTCTTTATTCTTTTATAATAAGTGTGTTAGTTTAAAAATATTACTTTTGCATAAGTGATTTATATTTTAGTTTGAGCCATTGCTTGAAACAGATTAAATAGCTAAGATTAAAGGTTAAAAAATTTAATAAATGCAGAGGAGTTATGAGTGAGGCACCTAAGAGGGATAATAATGTAAAACTGATATTTTGGATTCTACATAAATCAATCTGCATAACGTAAAACATGCGTAAAATTTTTAAATTTTTTGCATAAACCAATCTGCAGAGACCAACACATAAGTGTATAAAGCACAAATCATAGAATTCTAATATCGATGCATTGTATAATTTTAAAATTGTATGTAATTAAGTCTAATTTATTATTCTTAAAATTTAACTATACAAACACGTGTTTCTGAAAATAGAATTACTATAGATGAAAATGTGGTCTTTCTTCATTGTAACTCAGTATGTGGTCTTTTCTTGTTTTCCTCCATGACTTCCTCCACAATTTTCTCTTAATCACATGCACCACCTTATCAATCAAAACTGGGTTTCAATCTGTATAGCAAAAAACAAACTGAGATATGGTTGGAAAAATCTCATAGAGAAGGAAAAGACCTCCAACAAAGCCAAGAAGAAGATGAAACGTGGTTGAAAAAAAAGAAAAAATGGAGAAGACATACAAAATATATGTATTTTAAAAATTGCAACTTTCTACGTTGATTTTCTAGAAAGAACTAATGTAAAATATTTTTTTGTACATAACTACTTTTACATCAGTTCTCTCATAAAAATGATGTATAAAATATTTAAAAAAAAAAACTTTCTACATTGGTTATGTGAAGAGAACTGGTGTAGAAAATTATTTTTTTTACGTAATAATTACTTCTACATCGGTTCTATTGTCCAATTGCTGTAAAAAACCCCAACCTCATTTTCAACATAAATTTGGATAACTTGTATATCAATTCAATTCTATAACCAATGTGAAAATCTTTATGTATAATATTAAAAGAATGCAATACACGACAACGGATCTGTCCTATGGGTGTTGTTAAATGTGAAAGCATGGATTTGCATGCATTACCATTTTTGACACCTTAGTTCATATCACATTTTATTGCATTTGTACACCATAAATGGCTCCATCTTCGTAGAAGAAAGGTAGTAGTGCATAAACTATTCTACCATTGATAAATATTGTCTTTTTTTGTTTTTAGTATTTTTTTTTCTGTAAACTATTGTACCTATATTGTCGAAACCTGCTACTTTGCTCACTTGCTCAATCCATGGAGCTTTTGAAAATGTAGTGCACCTAGGCACATAAAAAATGAGATGAATACAGAGGTTAAATGAGCATCCTACACCAAAATGGTGCCCCATGTAGGTCTTCCCCAAAACTTCCGAGTAACTAAGGTAAACAACGTTAAAAAAGCACTCATTTTTATACCAATTTTGAAAGAGCAAAGAAAAATAAGATGTTTTGTTAATGAGAATAAGAAAGTGTTTATAGCTGTAACAATATAAACAAAAATACTCACCTGAACCAGAGGAACATGTATATAGAGAATACGGAAAATTTTACCTTGTTGAAGATTACGAAGGTCTCACAATGACCATAATATTGAATTTACTAATATATTCTTTCAAACATATTACTTGTATCACGAGTTACTTCTCTTTCATTTTTTACCATTAAATTTTTATCAATGGTTCATAATGCTTCAACGCTTTTTAAAAAGACACATATCCTTTACTTATTATAAAAGAAGGGAAAATATTAGAATTCATTGATATTTGTCTTTAAAAATACTGAGTATTTTGAGTTCAAGACAGTTACTTCTTGAGGTATAACCTTGTTATTAATTAATCATTGTTTTATTTTAATTTAAGAGTATAATTAATAAAAAACATTCTTTGATATTTTGATACTTTAGTAATTTTATTTTATTTATAAAATTATTGAATCTTTTATTTATAACTTTATCCTTAATAATATTTTAATTCATATACAAAATCTTAAATATTAAAGAAAAACAGAGCAAATACTTTACTTAATACTTTCTGGAAATATATATTCTTTTATCAAAGAATATAAAAATAAAATTTTTTAATGATAAAAGAAACAAGCACAAACTCCGTGAGAACGTACGGGATCAAAACTCTCGCGGTGGCCACACATATAAAGAAGCTCATACATTCCATGCCAAAAGTGGAAGGAGTTATGACAAAAAATAGTAAATGTAAACATTTTTTAAATTAAAAAAATTATGCATTATTTATAAAAAAATTAGTAGATAAAATTTATGTTAATATATTATTTTATATCTTTTATTTTGAAATTTAAATTTATTTATTTGAAATAATTTTTTTTTTTAACAAAACCTCTCTTCTTAATTAACTCCTTGAATGAAGGGGAAAAAGGAGTGTGGCATGTGAGTAGTGAAGACTTCTGAGATGCTTAGGCATAGTTGTGTTGAAGGGAAATATGAAAACTTTCTCTCAGAATTGAATGCTTTGCAAAGATGCAATGAATACAAACAAATATAAGTGTTTATAAGAACTTCATTATTACAAAAAAGGACAAATAAATAGTAAGAGAATTGGAAAGCCATACAAAAGATATTGCAAGAAATTAATTCAATTCACATCTTCATATTTCACATGTCATGCATGATTAGAGATAGTTGTGGGTTATATATCTTCTTTTTTTTTTACGTGTTATAGTATTTATATCCACTTATTTATATTAGTTAATTTTTATATATAATTCATGAGAATAAATTTTAAAATAATAATTTTTTTAAAATCTAAGTAGTTTAGGAGTTTTTTTTCTCACGTTCAATTATTTTTTACATCATCGTTAATTATTTAAAATTATATATTTATTATTAATAATTATAATAATTATTTTAAAATAGTTATTCAATAATTTATAAGTACAAATTCTTAAATGATAATTTTTTTCTTTAAATGCCAACACTTTTAGTAAGTAATTTTCTTTCTTTTGATATATCTGCACTAAACATATTTTTAATTGATTATTAATTTTATATTTTAGTTTTTTATAGTTTATTTTTATTTTAAACCGTATCTCTTTATTTATTTTTATTTAATTTAATAAATATTCATTATTAATAATTATGATGTTTACTCTTTTTAAAATTTAAAATAATTATATACTATATTTTTATTTATTTATTCAAATATTTTATATTAATTTAATTAAACGTATGCAATGTATGAAAAAAATCACCATTATGTATAAAAAATTGTTAACTTCAGTATTTACTGTTTAGGATTGAATTTGATCAGTTAATAATAATAAGATTTGATTGAGAAAAATATTAATTATATTTTTATATTTTCATTATAATAAATGCATTATTTATTTATAATTTTATATCTTAATTGATGTATTATTTTAATACAATTTTTATTATATAATAATATTTATACTTTACTACTTCACAAAAAGTTAAAAAATATTGTATTTAATTAACAAATTACAAATAAAAAAATAAATACAAAGATTTAAATACTTAACAAATATAAATATACGAATCAAAAGTATTATTAACACAAATATAAAAATGAATATTATAATATCCAATCCAAACCTTATCAGTTTCCATCTTTATTCATAACCTACTTGGTTAAATGAAGGAGACATTATAGTCTCATTGCATATAATAAATGTCTAATAGTGATTTGTTATGAAGTTTAGGCTATGAACTTCTATACAATAAAGATTTCTTGACTTCTACTTTTCTGGTTGTTTGAAGTGATGGCACAACAATTTCCCCTACGTCACTTATTATCCATTTTCGGTCAATTAAGGCTCCCAATAGTGAACAAAGTTCTTCCATGGGCATGTGGACCAAAATCTCCTAACTTTGGAGGCATTTACTTACTCATTTATACTTTTTAACTAGAAGGGTTAATTAAAATTAATCCGATTAGGGTTTAGGAGAAATGCACTTGAGGTTTAAAATATTAAAATTCTTTGGGTTAGCTTGCTTCTAATTAGATATTTTTGGACAAATTCAAATCAGACTAACTGGAGAAAAGTCAATTTAAGTAAACTCAAGTAAGTTTGTGTTGAATATTTGAGTTGTGTGTCTTTTAGAATTGATTAAAAAAAAAGAAAAAATAAGATAAAAATAAAATAGATTACATAGATCAATTCCAAAAAAAAATTAAAATTTAATCACAAATAATTTAAAATATCGCAAAAGAGTGTCAGTGAGAGAGTAATAATTCCTGGATACTAATCAAAGACTGCGGAATGAACATTTGGAAGAACTACAAGAATAAAGGCAATCAAAATCAGAAGTGTTTTTTGGTAACAAAAACAAAGTTTTGAATATCAAAAATAAATTTGTACAGAACACAATTTGTTATTTTTAATGAACCCAATATTTTTCATCAAAGAATTATTTCAGTCATTTTCCATGCCTGCTTTAATTTTATTATTATTAAATTAGTGCAGGATATGTCCTGGTTAGAAAAAGGGCATACAACTTTCAGAAAATGACTAGACATGTTTAGAAACTACATATTCAATATTAATTTTAAAAATCATTTAACATTTTTCTTTAAGAAGAAAATTATAAAATTATTAGCATTTTGTTTTCATTTGTTTGGTTTTACATTAATATTTAGCATTCTATTTTTTTAATAAAATTCACAGTATTCTATATACTTTTATCCAAATTTAATTTTGTAAATTTTTAGTTGTTACAATCATTTTTTTTAAGCGTTACCTAAAGCTCTCAAATAATTATTTTTCATTCAAATAATTAAATTTATAACAAATTAAAAAAATACACCTGAGATATATCAAATTGAATAACAAATTTTTAAGTAAGAGTGAAAGAAATAAATATTCATCATTAAACCATGAATTATCATATGTGAGATATTGTTTTTCTCCACTCAATCAACTCCTTAGGATTAACTATTAATTCATATGGCATTTTAAAATGATCAAAACTATTAAAAAAATTTAAATTTTGATTATCCATATACAGTTTCATAGTTAAAATTTATTTCTTTCACTTCTCATTAAAAAAGTAATCTTACTATATATACATAGGAGATACAGCTAATGAGAAAGTCTTTTTTTTTATTCAAAAATAATAAATTTAAACCTTACAAGTATATATAATCAGGAATTTTTTTTTTAAAGTTATATGATCAGTTAACAAAATTATATAAAATTTTGAATTATCACACAACTTTAATATTTTAATTTTAATAATTTATAATAAAATCCAATAATTAATTTTTCAAAATTCTCACTTTATAGAAACTTAACTCCTTGTTTCTTGAATTAACATACCTTTGGTTGTTAATCATATCTTTGAGCGATTCATGTAAGTTTCACATTACTCTCTTGCACTCCCCATTCGAATGACAGTAACATAAACTTTTAATGTTAATTGAACAAGAGAGAGAAATGAAACAAAGAATGGTTAAAAAAAGGATCACGTTCTACCTATTAAGAGAGAAAATGACTGAAGAAATTATGAAAACAAAAAGGTTCTAATTCCTCTGTTTAAAATCATTTATACTCTGCCTTACCTTGTCCCAATCCCAAATAGATAACTATCATATTTTTTCACAGGAAATTGAGAACCATTATTGTTGCATCTTCCTTAAAAAATAAAGGAAAATAATCTCCAACCGATCCTTGCTAGAATAACTCAATGTTACAAAAAGACAAGACACATTGATTGCACTGTATGAATTGCATTAATACAAAGGTGTGCAGAGGGAAAGACACAGCTGTATCTCTACTTGATCTTCAACTAATTCTTGTCTTGCAACTACTACAATTCGGAAGGAAAGAGAGAGAGAAGGAGGGAGTATCAAATACTAGCTAGTATTGAGGATCAAGAAAGAAAGAAAGAAAGAGGAAGAGAATAAAGGAGTTGAGGGAGCTTTCTGCTATATATACAGTAAAATAAAAGAAAAGATGTTAACCATCCTTCAGGATGCTATTGCATTTCACTCCAATTTTAGAACATTAACTTCAATCAATATGTGACTTGAAAGTATCAAATTGAAGCTTCAACTTCCATGAAGCAGATCAAATCTGGAAATTTGATGGGCTCTCAACATGCTTCTTCCTTTCATCTTTAATGAAATCACCCTGACTTAAACGGGTGACATTGTCCATATCAACTGCTCCACCACCCTCGGATGGAAAATGATCCTCGTCTGTAGGATTCACACCATGGTTATCAGGGGCTCTTGACGACAATCCGGTGTCAGCCATCATGCAGTGATAATGATGAGTGTCAAAGGATTCAATGCCATAATGAGGTTGCAAAGAAGAGCTGAACAAGGGTTGCATCAATCGCTTTCCCTCAGGAAATTCACGCAGTGATATTCGACAAACAGGACAAGTGGAATTCTGCTGCAGCCATAAGTCTATGCAGATCACATGGAAGGAGTGTCCACAATAAGGGAGGATTCGCAGTGTATCTTCCCCTTGGTACTCTGAAAGGCAGACTGTGCATCTGCAAATTCAATAAAATTGAATGTTCAAAATCATGAACCAAAATAATGGTGAGAAAACTCCAAAACCTAATGCATTCTACAAGATTTACATGAAACAAAGGGGCTCAACCACTTCCCCACCTGTATTCCGATATCCAATATGAAGAACACGGTTGGGACAATGCTTCTTTCATTAATTTAGGAGCAGTGAGACAGACAATATTTATGGACTTGAATAAATTGCACTGACCTCCAACAAGGTTTGCCTTTGTTATATGCATATATTTCCCTCCTTAAGTCCTTGTCATAATGTATTGAAGATTACAATGAAGGGGATATTTGTATTTACAAAACATTCAAAGAGATTTGTTCAATATGAACTTAGAAGATATAACATGTTATTGTTAATATTGTTCTTCAATTAAATTGAAGTTTCATCTCAATAACTCACGTTGATTTTCAATAGGTCAGTCATCAAATAAAATTATAATTTAATGGTAGAGCAGCAATAGTAGTGCTTATGGTATTGCACTTAAGTTTTATCCATTGAAATTTGTGCCTCTCTCTCCTAATAAATATTAGATACTCCCACCTATTTATTGTCTACCAAGAAAAAATACACACAATGTTTGAACATGATCATGTCATGTTAAAATTTGACATGAGCGGATACATTCCCATGCGCACACACAGACGAGAGAAATTACACTAAAATACAAGCTTCAGGGCCAGAAATCAACAAAATAGGCGATGATAGCACAACGTAACCAGACAAACTAACAAGAATTAGTTCTAAGCCACTGGAACACATATCAAATAAACTTCACTTCAAATTATCTTTCATTTTAGGAATTTGGATTTCTTTCAGAATAAAAGTCACTTGAAAAAATCAATAAAGATTTTTTTTTACTTCAAAATATGCCATACTAGTTGATATCTCAGCAAAATAATTAATTCACAATTACACCTAACTCTTTTAATAAGGGTATTTTAGTAAAAAAAGATCACCTTGTGATAGTATTTGGTACTATTAATAATTTCTTAAGATATGTACAATATCTTAAAAAGATAATGAAAAACGAAGAGAGACGCACACATTTCAAAATTAACAAACATGGGAACAGACATGTCATCCGAACCCACAAAACAAATGGGCATAACCCCTTATAAGGTGCTTAATCTTCTTAAGCTTAAATGTCATCCAATATCCACGTTTTCCAGCAATATCTGGGGTTCACATCTTCATTACAAATCCCTGTCCGTGCAATTCCTTTTAACTTAACTGAATTAGGAAGAAACTGCATTTTTATTTTTTGCCATGAGAGTATTATACATTAATTAACAGGAGAAATTTTACTACTTAGTACTACTCTTCACCAATCAAGTGGAAATTATATATATAAAAAACTTCTATTTAATTAAATCAGAAACAGAGATATGAACATACTGAGAATTTTCTGCAGCAGCAAAAAACTTGTCACTGTACTTCTTTGTTGGAAATTTAGCTACAGCTATGCGTTCAAGACCATGGCAACCTCGCTCCATCTAAACACACAGGAAAAATGTCTAATTGATAAATCCAATGCAAAAAGAAAAAGAAATTCAATGGGAAAGCAACACAAAGTTTGCACTGGAATTTACATATCAACAACCCAATTATAAACCCCAATAAAAAATCAAAAGTTTTAAAATTAACTTGAAAACTTAAAAAATGTTCACCATGCTGAGATTGGATCTGGAAGCAATTATGGGAAAGGATCTCCTTGAAGCATTCAAGTGAATTCGAGCGCAGATGAGCCTGGTGCAGACGAAAACAATGAACATGGTGCTCACCGCAAACCCAATCACAGTCATCACCAAGTTAATTCCTGAAGAAATCATTTTGTAAAAATTTCCCAAAAATTGATAAACGCACCCTGCAATTTCAGATTCCAGAAGAAGAATCAAGGAATCCCCAATTGAACACTCAACAGACACCACCAACACCACCCTCCACCGTTTTCAGAGAACAGAGTTCACGAGACTGAGAAACTGAAGTGGGTTTGACACGGTGGCACCCAAGATCCATGCTTTTTTTGGTGGGTATGGTGTGGAGTGTGAATCAGAGAATGGTGTGACAGAGTGAGGATTTGAACTGTTGTATTGTCCCAATGACAGGGAGAATGAAAACCCTAGAAGGCATGGTGGGTGGGTATGTGGCAGTCAGAGTGACAAACACCGTGATTGGATTGATGAAAAGATTGGAGAGATCTAAGGGTAATGGTGGTGATAATCAATATTTTTGAGATCTAAGTCAAGTTGCTGTCAGGATATAGTCATAGAACAGAGAAGAATGTGGTTTTTATTTCATTGTGGTGTGATCCTTTTAGTTTTAGCTTTGAGGATAATGGTTAATTTAAGAATCATATTTTTGAAGATGAAGATTGATTTTATTAATTCAATATGATAATGATGATCAAGTGACAATCAAGTTTGAATTTAATAATTGAAAATTCTTTAAAACATATTCATAATGTTGGGATGTAAAATTATATTAAAACAGCAGGATTTAGATACTCCATTGTCAAATCTGAACAGATGCCATTCACGAGTGAGTACTGTTATATCATTATATAATATATTTTTTATTAATATTTTATAAAAAAAATCTATTAAACAAATATAATTAATGTCTAGAAAATATAAAAAAAAAACTTTCTTACTTTTTTCCTTCAATAGGTAAGAAGAATAAGGAAAAATGTATTTATTAAAAATAAAACATTTATATTACAAACTATTTTTCAATACTTTTGTAATTAAAATATTTAATAAAAGACATTAAATATTCACTGGTAATGTCTTCGTAAGCCTTAGTATAGGTAGAAATAAGTTGAGTTGAGATTGTGTTTGTAAAATCTTAATCTGATTTATTTTTTAATTTAATGTTTGATTTAGTTTATTTATTTATTTAATGAGTTATTTTTGAAGGTTTAGTTTAGCATTTTTAAAAGCATGACTGGTAAATTTATTAAAAAATTTGTAGTAAAATATTTTAAATAAATCAAAGAAACTTACCTTTAGAGAAGTTAGTAAACCTAAATTCATATAAATAAGTGAATTTAAACTTTTAAATAAAAAAATATAATTTTATATTATTATTATTGTTATTATTTATATTTGTTTAAATAAATCAACTTATTAAACTTAAATGACCTTTTGAATAACCTGAAATTCAACCTTTTTTAATTAAATAAAATTTTAAAAATTCTTAAATTTAAATAAGGATACCCTACGTCCAATATAGACTAGGCTATAAGTCTAGCTACAACCTCCACGCCGTCACCAACTCTAACACGTTCAAGGGGCAATTCTAAACATCCGCCTAGTCGGAACGGGTTGATTAGGAGTTCAAAGCTAGATAAATACATTGACTAAAATAATATTTATTAAATAGCATGTTTCACATTATCATTCTCAAAGTTTCGCATGATGATAAAATCCACGACATGAAGACAAAACCTCGATGACCAAGAAATAGAAGAATTTATAGTGTATTTTACCCATAAATAAATCTCCTCCCAACACAACAAGAGAGAATACAGATAATCACCTTCAAGGTACAAGACAAATAAAAAGCATCACTTTAACACCATTAAAGAAGCAGCTAGCAACCTAATGGGATTATATACACTTTCATCTCAAGTGATCACCACTGAATGAGAAACGATAAGGAAGAGGAAGCCCGACTGTGCTACTTGAATAGGGTCTTGAAAGTTCATCACCAAATGGCATCTGTGGTGCTGCATTTTGATAGGATGGATTGATGGGAAACGTGGGATACATGTATTTACCAGAAGATAGAGGACCTCCATTTGAGAAAGGATCAAAAGGGGATGTTTTAGAATCAAATCTTGACCCATTTTCCAAGTAGCGGATGCCACGAGATTGATCATCGGCAGACAAGCTCAATGTTGTGCCAGAGTAAGGATTGGTGAAAGAATGACCATCAGAAGTTGTAGATATGCCTCTATTAAGATAAAAGTTTGAACTAAATCCAGAAGTTGAATCATGAACATTGAATCTAGCAGTTGCTTCGTTAGAAAAATCTGTTGGAAGTCTGAAGAGACCAGAACACCCAACAGGAATTTCAAATCTATCCTCCCTTTTATTAACAGGAGCTGATGATGATGTAATGGCTTTACCAGTGTACCCACCCTCAACTAGTGGCAACCTATTGAGCTCCTGTTGTAGAGATATCCTAGCTTGTTTAAGTGATTCAAGTACACCATTGAACTGGTGAGATTGTTCACGAGTAACTAATGCGTAAAGATCATTTTTGTTTCTTGAAGCATCATTTTGGTGCGGACCACCATGAACATCAGTGGGAAAGGAATAAGCTGGCTTGCAATCAGGGTAACCATGCCTATGTGAATCTTGATGGTTCATATTTGAATACTGACAGTGGCAGTTAACTGAGCTCTCGTTTTGGTTTCCCTCCAGTGGGAAATGAGAATTTTCTTGACCAAGCAAATCAGAAGTGCTAAAAGTTGTGCCCTTCTGGTTATTGTAACCTCTATCATCAAATGATTTTGGCACAATATCTCTGGCCCCGGCTTCAAACTTTTCTTTAGATAAGCAAACACCTATTGATTCTCCTTTATCCTCTTGAGCATTTGACGCAACTAACTTAGGAGTGCATGGAATCTGAACCTTACTTTCATCTTTATCCTCTGTCATATCTGAGTGATTCTCCGGATCACATGAATCCTGGAAAGTTAAGACCCAAAACTAAGTTATAGAGACTTAAGGTGATTTTACATGGAATATAAAAGCAGCAGAGAACCTACTTTGAATCATAAAATCATTTGATGTACAAAGCTGATTGAAAAATAACCGGAGCTACATTAAAAGAACAATCAGGAGAATGCTATTATTACTTACTTGTTCATCTCAGTGGAAGAATAGATAAAAGGCTGACAAATAGTAGACAAAAATAATCTACCTCGTGTATTTTGGCTCAAACTGAACTTAATGCGGTGTTTCATTCAATTTATTCTCTACTTCCCTTTTGAAAAACAAAGATCTTACAAACTTCTTGCATGTGAGCTAACTTTAATCTTTGGATAAAAAACAATTTCCCTAATTTGCTGCTCAATTAAGTTGCTTGACTTACTTTAAATGACAGCAACAACTACAGAAGCATTGGTAATAGTAAGACATAAAAAAGTAATCTTGAGTCTTCAGCTTAAACTTCTAAGAGTAGGCCTTGGACATGGTATCAAAACCACTGTTTGACTAAGCGAAGTCTATAGTTCATCATCACTCCTTGGTATTTTGAAGCCATTTTATCGCATGACAATATGTAATTTTGAATGGTCATTCCTTGGTATATTGCACAACTGCAAATTAGTTCTAACTTCATCATGCAGTTAGCTGGTAGAAGTTAGTTATTGATCTATACAAGTTATTTGAAATATTCATATTTTATTTTAATTTGATATAAAAATTATCCTCAAAATATTTTCCAAAATTTTTTTAGATACAAAAAGAATGAATACATATATGGTTATCAATCTTATGAAGTGAAACAGTTATTAGTTGATTTTTTTAATTGCAGGTTTTTGTACACTTCTGATTTAACATAATGTACATATATGTAAAATTTGTAAACAAATTAAGTAAAAAAAGGAAAAAGAAAAGATCATTTAATTTTTTATAATTTAAACTCTATGTTCTAATTCAGTCTTAACAATATTTTTATAACTTTTCTTTTTAAGTTTAAAATAAATCTTTTAAAAATTATAGACTCAGGCCATGTATGAATCATCTTATGTCAATAATTTACAGCTTTGATGATAAACTAAAATTAATGTATTCTCTCTCTTTCTCCGTGCTTCCTCCCCTACCTATGCATGTGCATGCCGAAAAAGTTTTATATTTGATATCCAATATTTAATGATATAAGTAGTTGTTTTTATGCTCTCTCAGCACTGTCATTCATATAGTGCTTTCTGCTAGGTTTAGGGGATCTACATCACAGTCACCTTCTGAATCTTTGTGCGTACCCACTTCCAGTGACAAAAGAATGAGTAGGCAACAAACAATCTTACCTCTTAAATTTCATCATGTCTCTACCTACTGTCACCTACCACCCCCACAATAGTAGTATAGTACCCTCAAAGCAGTATGAAACACAGATGTCTTTTTCCTAAAACTAATCAGAGCTTCTTAACTACAGAATCAGGATATGGTTGCTTTCTTATGTGCTCAATTAACTCCTTAATTTTACAGACCTTTGCCTCCAATACCATTGTTGTGCAGAAAAGACAAGGTTGCAACAGAACATAATATTGCAAACCTCCTGCTAATCTGAAACAGTAACATTTAAGATCGTAAGGGAATTCTTGCCTTCTGCATCTAATGAAAGAAGCAGTTTTTAAAAAATTAAAATCAAACTATAGTAGCCTAGAATCACATTTTAACCTCCCTGCCAATTTCATACATGCAACAACCAAACATTAACAAGTTTCAAGAAAAACCAATTAGAATATGATAAGTCTGGGCATACTGGCGTTGTGATGTTATTCTCTCTAAATTTCTCTTCCCATTCTCTTTGAACCTTCTCCATTGCTTCATATTGATCAATAAGTTGGGCTTGGTGTTGAAGTGCCTTTTCCATGTCCTTCTCTCTTCCATCTACATGACGATTTTCGTTGAGTATGCTAGCCTCTGATTCATCTTCTTCCTGAATTTTAGATTCTATTCTTGGGATGTTAGACCCACCATCTGAGATATTTGGAAATCCTTCAGAAGAGGATACAAGTTCATTTTCTTGGCAGTTAACTTCAACAGACTTATCTCTAGACTCCTCCACTACTGACCTGGGAAAACACAACTTATGTATCAAGTTCACAAGCATTCAGGAAGAAAAGTGTTAAAAAGAGAAAGATAAATGTAAATTACATTCAGGGGATATGCATATCATGGAGTTGGACCAGATAAGACCACACTATAAACGGTAATATTCTAGAACAATCCATTCTGAAGCATAAAAAATTAATTCATTAGAGTCCAGCTTCTTACTTTTCATCAATCATTAATGATTTTCTGATAGACTCACTTCCTCAAAAGATGTAAAAAGAAAATGAGGCATGAAGAACTTATCAAAAGAAATGTCAAACTCTAAAATAGTTATGGGCCAAACAACATGGAATTTACCTTATGTTTGAGAAAATAAGACAGTTTTTTTATCATCAGATTTTATTCCAAACAAAAGGGACAACCTAGTTCCTCAAGAGACCCTAAGCCTAAGAGTTGGAACCAAGGTCAAATTAGAAAACAGCAGATATATTGTTAGCATATCTTGCATAGAGAGAAGAAGAAGAAGAAGAAGAAGAAGGAAAATAAGAACACTGTTATCAGTGGAACCTGGTAATTTAAATGAGGATAAAAATAAACAAATTTTACTAGAGTAAAAGAGGTTATAGACTTACCTGGTATGTCTATGTCTTATCTTGCGACAAGACTTTCCTAAGCGATGCTTTGGAGAAGAATTAATGGATGAAAAACTGCTTTGCTTTCTCAAATTAGAAGTCTTGTACTTTTCAAGGGAGCGGGAAGAATCATGACGTCCTTTCCAAGACAAACTTTTACTGGATACTGGCGAAGAATCTAGATTGAAACCAGACATTTCTTCTGACCCATGTCTTCTTCCTTTTGAGCTCATAGGTCCCTCAACCTCTTTCACAGACTCATTACTCACACCAGAATCACAAGGATTGTCAAGGTCTGAGCCTGAATCAAATTCTTCAGATACATCAGTTATCCCTTGATTCTCCAAAATGGCAAGAACATCAGCAGTGGCCTTCTCAGCCATCTTCCTCTGAAGAGTCACTGTCCTAAGCTGTTCCTCCAATTCCACAACCTGATTGATATATTTGAGAGAAAATTTAGGGAGTTATAAAGAGGACATTAAGAAAGATCAAGCAAGTGGGATTCCAAAATCTAGCAAACCTAAACATAACATGCCTTGGTAGCCAGTTCATCAGCTCTCTGTCGAGCACTTCTTGAGATGGACCTTTCAGAAAGCAACCTTGCCCGCAAGAATTCAATAGTCATTGCAGTAGAATCCTCCATGCTGGAAGTAATCCTAAGTGATACACACATCTAATTAATATACCTCAGAAGATATTGTAAGGGAAGAAAAATGGAACAAATATTATACTAATGCTAACTTGGTAATGGAAAAATTGTAAATAACTATCACTTAATTTACATTGACAAAATTTTGATGGAGGAAAGACCTACACAGCAACTCCAATAACAAAATGGAAATAGAGAAGTTCATACATATTTTAAGAAAAATTCCCTTCCCAGCCCCCCTCCCCAAGAAAATGCTAATTAATTTTTGGTATCTCTTCCTCACGAAAATAATAAAATGCCCTAAAATATGTTATGCCTCACATTGAGCAAATAAGAAGGCTCAATGTGGTACTAAAGCCAAAGGACTCTCCCACCTCTCTTCCTGGGCTAGGGATGCAAGAGCAGTAGAAAAGTAAATAATTATTAGCAGAGTGACCTTAATCATTTGTTTTTAAAGCTGATCTTGTTATTTGTACAAATGAAGGTACTAGTTTACAGTTTGTTGATTCATCTGTAGTTGAACTGACATTGAATTAGTGGGTGATGTATATGTGCATGTGTTGTTCAATCAGAAGACAGCTTAATATATGTATCAAATTAAAGCATGAATTAGTAACTGTTTCCTACTAGATTTGTGGTCAAATTGCTCATAACCAAACATTAGGAACAGAGTTCAAATGAATATGAACACTTTTAAGCATTTTTTCAGCATAATGAATTGCACAGGTTTATGATAAAATCAATTCATGTTTGAACCAGTTGCATTAACAGTACGTGAGCAGCTTGCTTATTCTGTTGGGTCCCTGCTAGTTATGTGGATTTTGTCACATGCCTAATTATAGCTAATTCTATTATATTGACAATTGCTAGAGAGCTGTTAGATTCTGTTTTAACTTATAACAGACTCTGTGACTAGGTCAGCATTCTCTTCATTAAGAGACATGAGCTTGTTTTTGAATCAGAAAACCTCTACTACAAGATTGGACACTCTCTCTCTCTCTCTGCTCTCCACTTTCTTACGTTTTCTTTCTCTTTCTCACCCACTTAGTTTACAATAAATTTAAATCACTGATCTTAATATTTTCAAACAATTTCAAGCCCCGTTTATGTAAGCTTTTCAAAGAAAAAGCATTTCTAAAATGATAACATGTGTTTAAAAATATTATAATAATTATGTATAATTTTCAAGGAAAAAAAAAACAGTTTCAGTATGTTTCTCGTAAGTTAAAAACGTGCTGAATTGTAAATAAATTTTATATATACACACACATATATAAAATTGGGTTTCAGTATCTATGTATGTATAATTGGGTTTTAGGGCCAGATTTAGGTAGAAACATGAAGAAACAAGGGGTTTCCAAGTTTGCCCCTAACAAGGAGTTTCCTCCTTGAAAACCGTAGAATTAACAATCGGAGAACTTAAAATATGAAATAATATCATTCACAACCGAAAAAGGCAGAATAGGAAAGTGGAACGACAAAATTAACGGAAAATTAAAAAAAGAGTAAGTGAAAAAAACCTCAGATCTTGTGGATCGTGCATGGTGACGAAGAAAATTGCAATTGAGAGTAAGAAGGGTGGTTTTGTGGTGTGAGTGAGGAAGAAGAGGTAAAGAGAAGGATAGTGCGAAGGAAGGTTCTTTCGGCCACCATTGCCCCAAAACGGCCCCACATTCTCCGATTAATTCCCCCGACATCTTTTTTCCTTTTCTTCTTTTACTGTTATTTCTAATTTTTTTAACTGTGTTTGTATCTGTACGTTTGTGTGTTTATTGTTGCTTAAATTAATGCAGCTTCGTTAATTATTTAACAAAATTTTACGTGAGTTTTTATACTTCTAAACTTCGCAATTACGTTCACGATTGATGGTGTATTTTTAATTTAATAGTAATTTAAAATTTTAATATTTTTTAATTTTATTTAAAATAGCATAATATTTATATTAATTATTATAATATTTACTAATTTTAAATTTAAACAAAATAGAAATAATCATCAATATATTTTTAAAAGTTTTTTTTAATTTAATTACTCTTGTATACTATATAAGTAAACTTCGAGTATACTAAAAATTTACTAGTTGTTATTATTTCAAAGAAAGCCTACAAAAAGAGCACAAATGATTCAAAATAATGAAAGAATAAAAGATAAAGAACTTAAAATAATGTTGCATATAGAGAACAAGAAGAAAAGTAAATTAGTTAAGTAAACAGCTCTGTTCAAGCAAATTAATTTTCACTAAATTTACTTTTAATGTGAGTTTAATTAAAAATATGTATTTATTTGAACTTTGAATTTAATGATTGAATTTTATATTTTGATGAATACATTTAAATTGTCTCAAATTTTTTATTTAATATTTTTTCTATGTTTATTCTTAATATTTTTTTACTAACAAATTTATTAAAAATATAATGATGTATACATCCCAACAATCTAAATAATTAACACCTGAAATGATGTTATTTTATTATCATTTGAAGAATATTATTATAATTTATAAAAGAAATTCAAAATAAAAGATTTAATATAAAAAGAAAGATATAAAATTACAACTTTTATTTCAAAAGCTATGAAAGTAAACTTAAATAAATAAATATATACATATATACACATACTAGTTTTAATACAATTTTTTACTCAAACCATTTTCTTTTCCGTTTTTATGTTATAAATTTATATGTTTTTTTTTTAGTATAAATGTTTTTCTAACCTAACTACCTGTCTTTCTAATTTTATAACATGTGTCAAGTTAATATTTCGTTCTTAATTAATTATTTGAGGTGGGAATCATCTTTTTTTTCATTTTTATATTATAAATTTCGATATTTAATTTTAATGTATATGTTTCTTTTTAACATAAGTCCTGTCTTTCTAATTTTATAACACGTGTCAAATTAATATTTCTCTTAATTCATTGTTTGAATTTCCTTTCTTTTTATCAATATTTAAATATTATATTTATAAAATCACAATTAGATAATAAAAATATTTAATCAATCAAATAAAATTTCTTACAAATTTTAATATATGTTGTTGTTATTAGAATATTTTATTAGTTAAATTATTTTTCTCATAATTTATTTTATAATAACTTTGTATGGATCACCCATCAAATACACCAAATGCGCTATTCTTTAAAATTAATAAAATTTAAAAACACTGTTAATGTAATATTATGCTGAAAAATTATTAACATAAAAAAGTTGATTTATTAGTTCTTAATTTTTTTATGTTTTAAATTAAATTATCATAATTTAAAAATTTTCAATTAAATCTATAATAATAATTATTATATCGTTATTATATAATAATTATATGAAAAATTTAACTTATTAAAATTTTTATAAATATATACTTTAAATTTTTGAATGTATTATTATTAGGTGATAGATTTAATATCAAATTAATAATTTTTTTAAAATTATATTTATGTTCATATATATATATATATATATAAATAGATACGCGATTTTAAAATTTTGATAAATAAAAAATACCAAAACAATAAATTTAAATTACCTATAAAAATTTTCAATACTCTTAATAATTACTTTTGCAAAAGTATAACTTATTTCATCGGCTTTTTTGCCCTTTTAGCGTTAATTTCAAAAAAATTATCTAAATATGGTTTCATGAGAACAAATTCCCGGTCTGGGGCTGGGAAATCTACGTGGCAAGAGAGTCGTCCCTCTTCTGGACGACACTAATTAAATGAAAAAGAAAAGTTAAAATGATTCAAAAATAATCAACGGATGAGGAAGAAAAGGAGACACGTGTGTAAATCGTAAGAGTGTCGGCTGGTCGATAGGCGACTTCAGTGTCGGCTACTCCAGAGCCGTCTTCAGTGTCGGCTGGTACAGAGCCGTCTTCAATGTCGGCTGCTCCAGAGGCGACTTTAGTGTCGCCTGCGTCAGGGACGACACAATTGTGATTGGCCCACGTGACGGTGCAGTTTGACCGTTTGGGCGCAACTCCTTCTTCCTCCTCCTTCTTCTTCTCCGTCGTTTCGTTTCAGTTGCAGAAAGGGAGAAAGGGTCCTGGGAAAAAAATCATAGCATTGCCTACATTTTTGGGTCTGAGCTTTTAGAAATTGGAAAAAAAAATTAGTAGAAGGTAAAGGAAATAATAAATCAAATATAGTTTAGTTTTTAAATATGAGATTGGTTGCATTTTACTTTGAGATTATGGTGCAGGGCATTTTCTGGGTGAGTGAGTGGCGGTCGGTGGCGGTCAGTGGAGTTGCTGAAGAAGAAAATATATATTGTGTTCAGTCTAACACAGGTGCACAAATATTTTTTTGTTTTAAAATATTTAAAAAACTAATTTTTGTATTTTGTTAGCTAAAATTTTAGATAGTGCTATGAAAAATTGAATAATATAATTGTTATTGTTTTATAATTAGTTGTTTAAAAATGTATTAAATATAAATTATAGTAATCCATAATATGTGTTTAATTATTAAATAACAAGAAAACTTTTGATTGTAATAAATAGATAAATTAAGAGGAAAGAAAAATATGTATAAATAAATATAGTTAAAAAAAATAAAAAACATGATAATGAAAAAATATATATTCACATGCAGTAAAAATATTAAATAATAAATGTAAGAGAAATTAATTAAGAATTTTGTTCTTTACATGGTAGATTGCTATATAAAAAAATTTGTTGACACAAAAAATAATGTTAGTAGTAAAAAAATAATATTTAGTTTTTGAATATGTGTAAACACAATATTTTATTAAAACTATTGATAAAAATAACATATACAGTTATATTATAAATATATATTAAAAAATAAGTTTATTAAAAAATAGCAATAAATAATATAATAAATATATCATCAAATATATTTAAAACATTACATATCTACTTGAAAGTTTATGATTTAAAATTTTAAATAAATGGTATTAAAAATTGTATAATATAATATTAAATATTTATAATTTGTTAGTTAAAGAATGTATTAAATTTAATTTTAGTAAGTCAATAATATATTTTAATTATAAGATATTAAGATAAATTGTTATAGTAATTAATTGTTAAATGAAGAGGAAAGAAAATTTGATATTAAGATATACAGTTCAAAAAAAAGAAATAAAAAACATAATAATGAGAAAAAAGTATATGAAATGCAGTAGAATGGGCAAAATTTTATATGACCCTAAAGAAATAATAAATTTTTATGTTTTGATGATAAATTAAGATATAATAAATAATTTGTGACAAAAAAATATTAGATGTAGTAAGAATAATAATTAGTTTTTTAAATTTAGAGTAAATAAAACATTGTTAATCAGAATTAATTGAGTACATGTAATTACATTTATAGCTATTTATTATAATTATAAATTAATATTTAAAAGTTTTTAAATTGTTAAAATTTATTTAATATAATAATTAAATGAAAGATTTTTTTATGTTAATTTGAAATTTTGTTATTGTTATAGCTAAATAATTGTAATAAAAATTAGGTAGTAATGAAAAATAAGATGATAAACTTATACGTTTATGTTTATTTAATCTATTCATTTTAATGTACATAATTTCAGTTGAAGTTGACAAATTTTATTTCAGATGGCATCATCTTCATCGCAAAGTAGAGTTTTAAATCCTGGCCCGGAGGATGGTTCATTATTAAAGTATCAGTCTGTTCACGTATCAGAGCATATTTGGGATGGACGTGAGCACCCAGTTTTAAAGGTGAGAAGGAGTCACTTCATACCGGCTGGCTTGGAAGGGGTTCTAGTGGAGATACTTCCTCATCTAACCTTAGCTAGATTTGCTGGAGTAGCTCAGTTGGCATGCTTTCCTATTGATCGACATCTTATTACAGCCTTGGTTGAAAGATGGAGGCTAGAGACACATACCTTCCACATGCCTCCTGGAGAGTGTACTATAACTCTTCAGGACATTGCTATTCAGACAGGACTTCGTATAGATGGAAAGGCAGTGATTGCAGCTGTAGGAGGTGATAAGACACAAATTGTGGAAGATTTGCTTGGTATTAGACCACCTGCTGATGCATTTATGGGGAGTAGTTTGAAGTTGAGTTGGTTGGACCAACACTTTACACATGTTGCAATGCATAATCATAATGAACTTCAGCTTACTCGCTTTGCTAGAACTTATATTCTGAGGCTGATAGGTGGGTTCATGTTGGCTAATCATTCCTCTAGCAGAGTCCCAGTTAGGTACCTTCCATTGCTAGAGGATTTTACTATCACAGCACAGTATAGTTGGGGAGCTGCAGCATTGGCATTCCTATACTGAGAATTATGCATGTCGACCAATATTGAGCGTTCTGCTATTGGAGGATTAACCCCATTACTTATGATGTGGGCATGGGATAGGTTTCCATTTTTACAGACTAATAATCCTGTCCACACACGACTAGAGCTTCCTTACGGTGCACGGTATGTTCTGAATGATTGTATTTTGTCATATATGTATACAGTTCAAACTCTGTAACGCTGATTCTGATTTATATGTATGTCTTGCAGGTGGTTAGTGAGTCGAAGTTATGGGAGGGGGAAAAGAGATCTCGCTTACTACAGATATAAGTTTGATCATATGAAACGTGATGAGGTATTTTGTTAATATACGTGGAACAAAACATTTTACTTGACTTATTAATATTTACAACTTTGTTATTCATTTGAGGGACTTTGAAAATGCATTTTGTATGGCAACCGTATAGTATGGAGTTGATGAATTCTTTGCCTGCCATCTGCATTGAAGGAGCGAATATTTGGAGGTCAGTTGTGCCACTTATATGTTTTCAAATTTGTGAGTGGCACCAACCTGACCGTGTAATGCGGCAATTTGGAATGGTTCAACATATTCCTCGTGCTCCATACCAACCTGACCAGCTACACGACATTACTTTGAGAGGAAAGACTGGTGAGAATTGGTCAACCAAGTTCAGAGGCATAGTGGAGCTATGGGACATGCGAGAAGCCTGGGTAATGACTAATGATCCTCAAATCGGGTTGTTAAGTTCTAACTCTGACTATATGCGGTGGTACATTACTCACACCAGACGATGGATGACCAGGGATGCAGCTGTATTTGTATTACTTGTAAGTAATATTAACAGAATTGCACACTATTTGAATAAAATTTGATTTCACATTTGATCAAGATTTATATTGTCTTATTGCAGGGAGATGCTCATGAAAGAGCATATTACTTGTGTAATGATGGTAAAGACTCATTTTCATTTGAGGAGATGAACGACTTGTGTGAGACCATGCTCTCACTACAGAATGAGCAGGAACGCATCTTAGAGCCTGCTTCTTCGTTTGACCCTCCTATTCAGAGTGGAAATCCAGCTGATCCAGACATTGACATTGGTCAACCTGCAAACCGTAAGGAAGGAAAAGGTTTACAGCGTCGTCGAATAGAAGTTAAGGTAATACACTATTATATTTCTTTTTACCATCTTATGAGTATGTCTTGTGTGCTTAAATGTTTCTCGTGGGACAAATTGTAGGCGACAGAGTGGTCACTTCCCCCTTTGCCAGAACGCAGAGATGGCATATATTATGTCCCACCACAGTTTCCCTTCAACCCTTCCCAGGCTACTCAGACATCCTATTTTCACGCATCACAGTACACTTCACAGCCTACTGTATCACCATTTAGCAGTGGTCAATACTATGTCCCCGACGGTAGTCTCTACATGACACCTCCTCCATATGAGCCATCATTCTTTACGCCTGATGCACCAGCTGTACACTCTCATCAGAGTGACCAGGGGTGGGAAACATCATCAGTCCAACCACGTGAGGAGCATGGCATTGATCTTAATGCAGATTTTATAATTGTTGCTGATGCGGAGGTCCAAGAAGTGCGTCGGAACCCTCATCGTGAAGCACGAGATCGTCGTCGACAGTGCATACTCACACCTCATGAGGCAGGGCATGCGGACCAATCCTTGGATTCAGATTGATGTCTTGTTATTTATGTATTTACCATCTTATGAGTATGTTGCACTTTTTATTAATATTCTACCACATGATATATTACTATACTATATTACTTGACTTATTACCTAAAACAGTGTTGTTAATCACATTAATAAGGAAATATGCGTTACACTCTCATTGACATTAATAAAAATATACGTTAATACAGATGGTCACATTAACAACATAATATCACAGTACACTTTAATAACATTAACAACAACAATTTGAAGTGAAATGCAACAATTTCTTACACATGGTGATGATTACGATCATTCTGTTGAGGATATTGACGTTGATTATGACCAGGCTGTCTACACAACCTACATCTTTGTCGTGGTTGTGACTCGACCCAATCCATTTCATTCCTAATTCTAGTAGCCTTTGGTCTTCCTTTACCTCGTACTCTTTCTACATCTGGCACTAACTTCCACTCAGTATTTTGTAAAATATTATTTTCATTTCCAAGAGGCCACCACTGAGATGAATATGCATTCACAACATTATGTAAAGTATAAACAGGATCCACAAATTGCCAAAAGTCTATACTTATATGAGCACAAACAGCTATGACATATGAGCATGGATATCGGAGAGCCTTAAATTTCCCGCATTCACAATAACGTGTTGATAATATGACTGTCCACTTATGACCACCCCTTTGTGTCACTGGATTAAAAGCTTCCTCAACCTCAAACCTTGTTCTTTGTATGTCATACCGCCGAACTTGATGTGAAGATGCTTCTTGTTGATTTTTTTCTATAGCTTCCATTAATTTCTGATAGTATCTTCCTCCATTGTTAACCTCATGCATTGCAGTTTCACCACGCTTCACAAAATATTCTACCAATCGGGCATACGTAGCTTTGACCAAGGCAGTAATAGGAAGGTTTCTTGCCCCTTTCAAAACTTTATTTACAGACTCAGACAAATTAGTAGTCATGTGTCCATAACGACGTCCTTCATCATCATAAGCCAAGCTCCACTTTTCCTTTGATATATTATCTATCCAAGTCTGAATTTCAGGTGATTGTGATCGAAACGTATTAAGTTTAGATTCAAAAATCTGTTTTGATGGTGTATATCCTGCGTTTAACAGAAAAAGGTATAATGTACAGGTTAAAAATTCAAAATCTATTAAAACTTAAATGAATCAAATGGGCAGAATATGTACCTAATTGAATTAGTTTTTTCTTCAACATGGTATTTTTGAATTGTCGATTGAAATTGCTGGCAATGTGACGAATGCAATAAACATGATAAGTATTTGGAGGTTGCCAACCTAGATGTGGGTTAGAGACTGCACCTTTTATACTTTGATGTCGATCTGAGATCAAACATAGCCCTGCCTTATTTGTCACATGTATACGAATCATGGCTAAAAACCATTCCCATGCAGATAACGTTTCTCCTTCGACAATGGCAAATGCAATGGGAAGCACACAATTGTTACCATCTTGAGTCGTAGCAATTAGCAAAGTTTGTCGGTACTTACCGTACAAAAATGTTCCATCTACCTGTATTATAGGCTTACAAAAGTTGAAAGCTTCATGACATTGCTTGAACGACCAATACAATCGATGAAAAACTCGATATCTATTATCCACGGTGTGACCTTCAACACAATCATTTGTTTCAATTTTGTATACAGATCCAGGAGCATGTAATTGCATGTACTCTAGCCATCTTGGCAATGCAACATAAGATTCGTCCCAATCACCAAAGACAGTAACTATTGCTTTTTGTTTTGCTTTCCATGCCTTCTTGTACGAAATTGAATATCCAAATTGACCACTAATTCTCTCTTGAATTAACGAAATTGGGACTGATGGTTCTTCTTTCACCATACCTACATCGCATATAATGACAGAGTTTTTAAATTTGTTGGGATGTAATAGGGTGAAAATTAGTTAGTTTTTCCTATTTCAAAATAATAAAATTTAATACAAGATTAGACATACCAAGAATGCATGAGCAAATAAATTTGGAATCCAACTTTTGGTGGTCTTGAGAGATTGAAACATTTACGCATGTATGGGCACCACCCCACTTTATAATTTTCCACTTGTCTGCATTTTTTGGCAAGGATGCTCGAACTCTCCAAGGACATCCACTATTGTGATTGACACACTTCACAACATATGTTGTTGCTTTTGACTCCACCACAAAAAAAGTTTGATGTTTCCTCATGGCGTAATGTTTTACAGCCATTCTTACATCTTCTTTAGTGTCAAATAGTTGTCCAACATATAATGCATCTCCTTCCTTCCATGATTGCGCGTCATTCATACCAACAAAATCTAATTCTTGATCAGGGTGTTCCCAATTAATATAACTGTAATGTGGACTTATATTCCAAAAGGGCAATGTTGCTTCTGTATTACAACAATTCATTCGTCAGACTTATACCGTAATTAACAATTTATACATTACTACAAATATAAGTAATGAAAATATATAATTGGCATCACTATCTAAAATCATACCTCCTTGTTGTTGTTGTTGTGTTGAACTAACTCTTACAATACCTTCTATATTGATCATTGAATCACAATCATCATCTGTCTCAGTATCTGACAAATTATTTAATGAAATATCTTCTTCATCTTCATATTCATCATCTTCATCATCTTCATCTGTAAATTGTACATTGTAAACTTATATTATTAATTAATATTGCAGCATCAATTTTAAAAATTTAAATTAAATAAATTCATATTACCTTCTCTTGTGGCATAATCATCATCATCACTTCCATGAATATGTGAGAGTGATAAATTCACTTTTAACGGACGTGCCACAACAGAAGATGTTTCACCAACCGCAACATCCACATGTATCTCAACTACATTCCTATGATGTTGTTGTTGACAAGCACTTATCATGCAATCTATATCTTCATCGTCACATACATCTAGAGCTGTATGATATCGACCATTTATTCCAACTAAAATTCGTGCAATTAATCTAGAAATTACGTGACAACTAGACAGTTTCAGTTTTGTCTGGATCTTCCTTTTAAACATCTCAAATGTGATCCCACGTTCTATCTTAATCATCTTTTTCTCCCTTTCAAAAATTATACCCTCATTTCCTTCATATATTCTACCATTTGAATATAATATAACAACAATTTCATTCATCCTGCATTAAAAATAAGCGAAACTTTCAAAATTAATTTATAATATAATAAATTATATTTATAAGTTCATTTTTAATTACAAATATTTACATATTTAATTTTTAAATAACACAAAAAAATTAAATTACAACTTTAACACTTAATAGCCATTAAATAAATATTTTAAATATTATTATGCAAAGTAAAAATTCTTAATAACCATTAAAAATAAATTATATATTTGTAATGCTTAAAAACTAACCTGATTGAGCTATGATTGTGATTTCTATCCCTGCTACACACTTCCTATCTCTTCCCAAGCCAATGCAATTTTTTCCCGAGCTCCATGGTCATATTTATAGGGTTTCTATCTTGGATAAAAGAATGTATCAAAATTTTTATCTACTGGTCGCAGTAAAATCGGCTCTGCAGTGAGCACTACTAAAATCGTTCAAATAAGACGACACTAGTTCCTCCCATGACACGTGGCGCGATCTGGTGAGTGTCGTCCCATTAGGAGACGACACTCTCATATTTCGACACGTCAGCACCTGTGTCGTCTAGAACAGAGACGATTCTCTTGCCACATGACTCGCAACCCCAGACCAGGAATTTGTTTCCATGAAACCTTATTTACATAAATTTTTTTTAAATTAACCCTAAAAAGGCAAAAAAGCCTATTTCATCACGAATTCAATTTTTATATAAACTTTTTATATAATTTTTTATTATAATTAATCAATAGCATTAGAGAAAAAGTTATTTTAAGCTTATTTCAATCAATGAATTCAATATTAATAATATTACTTAAGGATAATATAATTTAAGAGTTTGAAAAAAATACTTATTATTGTTAATTATAAAAAAATACTAACCTATATAAAAATCATATATATAATAATATTAAATATTTAAAATTTAACTAAAATATTTTAAATATAAAAATTAATATTTTTTTTTAAATTATGAGATTCCAATTAAAAACTTAAAGAAATTACGAAGGCTAACGCATTAATTTAACTTCTCTTAACGTTTAAAAAATAATTTTATCCCGACATGATCTTGATTTTTTACTTAGCCGGAGTCAAGTTCTAGATTTGATTTGGCAAAAATATACACTTGTTCTTGATTCCTACTAGGTTGATAGTGTATTGTTGCATCAAAAACCTTTGATTTAAACTGAAGCACTTCAGGCAAAGCAAAACAAAAATGCATTACTGGGTTCGAGCTATATCGTCTGATTTCGCCGGGACTCCACCCCAACCTCGCAGGTAATATACGCTACCTTTTGTATTCCCTTAGTTGTTTACTTGTTTATCTTAAACTCGGTTCATTCGTGTGATTCAGTGGTCATTCCGCTGTTAATATCGGGAAATCCAAGGTTGTCGTGTTCGGTGGCTTAGTCGATAAGAAGTTTCTCAGCGACATAGCTGTTTATGATACTGGTAATGGTACCCCTTTTTCTTTTTCATTTTTATTCATTGTTTTTCATCAAAATTGGATCTTTTATTCATTTAACATTTTTTCAGAGGCCAAGCTATGGCATCAGCCTGAGTGCACAGGAAGTGGTTCAGATGGGCATGTGGGTCCCAGCCCTCGGGCTTTCCATGTTGCTGTTGCAATTGATTGTCACATGTTTATTTTTGGGGGCCGTTCTGGGGGTCAGAGGTTTGTGTTGCATCATTTTTTTTTATATAATATATAAATTTCTCTTGTATTTGTTTTTCATTATGGTGTCTGAATTTTACAGGTTGGGGGACTTTTGGGTTTTGGATACTGGTATGTTTGGCATTTTGTGTAGTATTTGTCGAGTTTGTATTATGTGATAACTTTCATGCTGTGGAGCTGAGATTTGACATGTTGCTACTTGGAATGAATGATGTTGTTCCAGATATATGGCAGTGGTCTGAGCTTACTAGTTTTGGTGACTTGCCTTCCCCGCGAGATTTTGCTGCAGCTTCGGCAGTTGGAAACCGGAAAATTGTCATGTGAGACCTATAGCACTTGATTTGACTTTTTGTGCCAATTAGCTGGAATATGATTAATTTAGAGCATGTAATAAGGTGGATTCAATGTGATGCAGGTATGGTGGATGGGATGGAAAAAAGTGGCTATCTGATGTTTATGTATTGGATACAAGTATTTTCCTTGGAGACTAAATTTTATCTCCTACAATGTAATTGCCTTTAATGCAGTTGAAAGAAGTTATAATATCATCTTTTTCCTCGCATAGTATCACTCGAGTGGATGGAGCTCTCAGTTGCTGGCACATTGCCTCACCCTAGATGTGGGCATACTGCCACAATGGTCGAAAAACGGTTGCTTGTTTATGGTGGAAGAGGTGAAGTGACATAGTTCTCCTCTTTTAAGAATTATTTTGCTTGAATGTTGATTTTTTTCTGAGTTTATTTAGTCCTTTTATAGAAATAAGAATTATACACTCAGTTGTTATTAGGAATTTTCCATGTTTGTGAAAAGAGTATTTTATCATGTAATTACTTCTTTATTTTGTTCCTCATTGTTGTTTCTATTTATATTTTGCAAACTTTAATGAACATGCTTTAATCTCTCAAATATTGATCAATCTGGAAATTCGGTGCATTTCATCACCTTTATTATTATTTTAGTTACAATTTTGGAGCAAGTAATTTTAATATATTAATTTGGTAGCAAGATTTCACTTCTTTCTTGGTTTGAATTTGGGGGCTAGATTGATGAAATTTCAGATTTGCATGATGGGCTAATGGCCCTGAAGTTATATTTAAGATACACAATTTCTGTAATGAAACTAATAAAATTTAACTTTGAAGTGTTGGATTTTTTTTATATAGATTCAAAGATACACTGCTGTTGCCTTAGCAATGCTAACTATCATAAACCCATCTAAAACACCAAAGCTTATTCTAGGGTTCGTTCCTCTTTTACTAATACACATGTTATGTGACATTTAAGTTCTGAATCTGCAACTATTCTCCTGGACTTTGATTTCTCTATCTTATATTTAAATAAATAACTGTTGTGAATTAATGGAGGGGGCATATGTATTAATTGCTATAGTGTCAATCTCAAAAAGTTAATTGTGCTATAGCCTGACTTTAACAGGAGGAGGCGGACCAATTATGGGTGATTTATGGGCCTTGAAGGGCCTCATTGAAGAAGGTATGTATTTTTTACCATCTTTATATGTCCATTATGTATGCTGTTGTTTGTATAGTTGCAGGTTGCAAGTTTTTATTGTCATGTCTTATTCCATTGCTTTGTGTCTGGTCCTAAATCTTCCTTTCTTATGAGTTTTGTTGAATTCAGTCAAGTTTAAATTTGATCCATATTCCATTGTCAGCAAGAAACTTTTTACACTAGTTTGAATCAATATTTTGCTTTTGCCCTTGACTTGGCGACTTCTCACTTCTTTCTTTTCCAAGATATCAAACTGTCTCCGATAAGAATATAATATCTTGAAGTAGAATGTCTAGTTCCAGCCTAATTTGCTTTTGTAAAGAAAATTACTGAAACATGTTCTCTACCTTCAATCTTCATGTGGCAGTCCGTGGCCTGGTGCATGCTTAACAGTACCAAAGCTTGACATTTGATAGTTAGTTTTCTAACAAGTCTTCAATCCGTTTTGCATTTGGTAATGGCTCCCTTACTACAGATAAGAGCTTGGCATTTGAATCCATTGGTGTGTCCCTAACTTGACAGTCTGACTTGCCAATCTCTTCCAATATATATATTGGAACATTGGTAGAAAGACCACCTGACATTCTATTGTTGGTTTAATTTCAGTGTCTATTACTTGTGTAGTCATACTTTCTTTCTCTTCTCTTTAATACAATTTTTTGTTAGCTTCTTATTCAGTTGGGTTATGTACTTATAGTTTGTATGTATTGTGGAGGAAAGAGAATGAAGCACCAGGGTGGACTCAATTAAAGCTTCCAGGTCAAGCACCTTCTCCCCGTTGTGGCCATACAGTTACATCTGGAGGACATTATGTAATCTCATTCACAAAATCCTTCTTTTTCTAGTTTTGCTATTTTTGTAAATTGCTTTTGGCCTTTTACTGTCAAATATGAATTTTTATACTGTTCCTACCCTATCCTGTAATAGAATGATCTATGTTGATGTGCATCATTGTCCTTATTCTTTTTTGTGGTAGGTTTGGTGTTGAAAAGATTGACTATTTCGTGCATCTAAGCATGTGTTGATATAAGATTGACAATATGTAGGATGGTGAATAAGAGGGATCATTTGTCCACTTGTGACTCGTGAGGTTAGTTGAGGGTTTCTTGCCATTAACAATAAGAAAGATTAATCCTTATCCCCCCCCAAAGGGGTCATGGGTCAATTGATCCCATTAGGCTATCAAAAACCATATTCTCAATAGAACCATTAGGGTAGGTCTTTCATTATGATTTCTCCTTATAGTTTTCTTTGGTCTTACTCTACCCCTTTTAATCAAATTATTTTCTATAGGATCCTTTTTTCTCATTTAATTATCTATTAGTCTTCTTCAAACATGACCAAACTACATATTGATTATTGAGATTGAAGGCTAACAGTTTCCTTATGAAATGAGTAAAATATAACTGGGGATATTTGATGAAGATAGAGGAGACTTAGGAGTACCTGTCTAGTGCAATGAGTTTAGAATTGTCTGAACTAATACTTATGGTTAAACTGAGTGTGACTGCCTCCCAGTGCTCTCTATGTTGATAGTTTAAGAAACAATATTCACTGTAAAGGAGCTTTGATAGCTCAGTAGCCCTGGTGACCAACATACATGTTAATTATGGGTGCAGATTACTTTTAAGATTAAAGAGCTGTAGGAACTTGTGTATTTCCATGAGATATAGGGTTGCCTTTATGTGATATTAGAGGGTTGGTTATCTTTTGCTTCTCTTTTACAAGTTTCCTCGGTTAAATTCTCCCCTTCATTGTCTTATTGCTTTCTTAGATTCATATGTGTATGCTTCAGTTCAAGAGATATCTGTTGTTCCCTTTTAATGAAGTTTTACTGGTTAAAAAAGTTTAAATTTATCAACTCAGAATTATAAGATCAAATAATATTAATACTATGGTTGCTGTCATCAAATAAATCCTGATGCTGTGGTGCTTCCCCTTTCCCCCCAGGGATTCACTACTTCCTAATCATTCCTCATGATTGTGTAAATTTACGGCTTTACCCTGATATCCTGTAATTTATTTATTTCTGGAGTGGATTTTGCAGTTGTTGATGTTTGGAGGGCATGGGACTGGTGGATGGTTGAGTCGTTATGATATCTACTATAATGATTGCATTATATTAGACAGAGGTGAGGACTTCCACTATTCCGATCAGTATATCTATCACAATTGTTATATAAAGAACCATTATAACTGTTGTGTCTCTGTTAATCTATTTTATTTAAAGCTGACTTGTTAATGATTTTTGGTTAACATAGATTAGTCTGGGATTTTGCTAAATGTTTTTAGCGAGAAAACTGGATGATGTATGTTAGTTGTATGAAGCGAGACTTTTGCTATTTTCTTTCTTCTGTAGATGGAAATTCAGAGATTCTGATAAGAAGTCTTTGTTTTCTTTGAAGTTAACCTGTTACTTCTAAGGTCGGTTTATTAGTTGTAGTTTCAATGTTTTTAATTTATTTATACAATTTTGATGATTGTTTTGTAAACAATAAAATTAAAATTTATAGAATAACAAGTATCTGGCTTTCATTTCAGTAATTTAGCATCCCTTAATTGTAAGAGCTTCTTTTTCTTCTTATTTTTATGTTTTTTGTTTGTTCTATAATTAACAAAACATCTAATATAAATTTTACAGAAATGCACTATAGGGGAGAGAAAAGAATTACATTTTTCCTTATGATGTGACCTTGAGCTTGACTTATCTTCATAAGTTGGGGAGTCACAAACTTATCCTTTATTGCTTAATGATACTCTAATTTTCATTTTGAGCTTGGATTAGTTTATTTAGAAAGAAGCAAATAAGCTAATAATGCACATTTGTGTCCTTGAATGAAATTTAGTGTATGTTACATGCTGCATTAACTGTTGCTGATGTGTCTGGTCTGTAAAGTTTGATATTAAGATGCATGATTTTTGAGACAAATTGTATATGAAACCTTTCTTTTTACTTTAAATTACGATAAAGTTGTCCACAAAATGAAAGTTTTTCTTAGAAAAGTGGCCAATACCAAGTTCAATTACTTTTTGTTGAGTTGTGTTAATTTTTGTTCTTATGTTGTACGTAGTTTCAGCACAGTGGAAGCGGCTTGCAATAGGCAATGAACCCCCTCCTGCTAGAGCATACCACTCTTTGACAGTTATTGGTTCACGGTATCTACTAATTGGTGGTTTTGATGGGAAATCAACTTATGGTGATCCATGGTGGTTAGTCCCTCAAGGTATGCATTGTTCTTTCAAGGTCTACAGAGCTTTTGGTTCCTGTTGTTCAATTCTTTTTTTTCTATTATGGTATTTCACTTATTATAATCTATGCAAGTAAGGGTAATTAACTGTTTTTGGTTTGGCAAAGACTTCTTTGAAAAGATTCTGTGTCAAACAGTAATGAGTTGTTGCATGAAATATGTTGTTCTGTGTGTATGTATGTGCACATTTATGATTTGTTGTATCTTCTGTATGAGTATACTTTTTGGGAGTTAGCCTTTGAATTGAATTGAATTGACCCAAAGGAATATTCTACTCTTTGAACTTTCTAATTTTTCTTTTACCTACTGTAATTTAAATACTCAATTAAAAGTTATCCTTTCAAGAAATACTTTTTTAAACATTTCAAGGTCATATGAAATGAAATTTGTTAAAAGAACTGGATAATTCGTAGAGGCTCTACAAGGCATCCTAAATTCCTCTCACTTCTTTCACATGATTCACAGGGGACCCAATTGCAAATAGATTAACTACATCTCCCCCTAGAAGTATTCCTGAAAGTAAGGATGCTTCACTTAATGATGATTTTCAATCTCAATTCAAGGTATTTGCTAAACTTGGTTTGGTAGCACCATCTCTTGCATTATGATGTTGGAAAATGATAACACCCATCCCATATCATTTTTATCACTTTGGGGCTTTAATTTTTATTTTACCGTGTTATGCATGAGTAGTTAATTCCATAATGAAAAATTAATTCAAAATGGTAATATTTTTTCCCCTTCTTTTTCTAATGTTAAGGTTTTTAATGGTAACTTGTGTGCTTTATGGTCCTCTTTGCCTCAAAGGCATTAAACCACTTGCCTCAACTGCATTGTTCACCTTTTTATTATTTTTCAAGTTATTGTTTTTGCCAATTTCCTTGTAGCCATAGTTATCAATCTCGAATACCGGGGTGTAACAGCTGACCCTAAAAGTGCTATAGTGGTATAACATATAGCTGGACAGCTGGTATTCTGAAATTATTGATAATACAGATACATAATTTATACCAACTGCTTTAAAATTTAAAAAACTCTAAAATTCATGCCATATTCATAATTGACAATAAGAAGTGAAAGTAGCAGTTAGCTACTGTGACGTGATCAGTGTTGTTAAGTGTCGGTTATGGCGGTGCCATGGTGTGGCGGAAATGAAGGAAGCTGTTACGATAGCGTGGCATGGCAGAAATTCATGGCGGCTGTTACGAGCATGGTGGTAACAGCCGGCCATGGCAAAAACGGTGGAAATGACAATTTTTTTTTTGAAAATAAGGTTTTTCTGCAATTTTGGGCCAGACCCTACCCAACCCAATCCGGTTTATAACCCAACTCTAAATCCAGGTTTTTCCCTCTCTTCTCCTTACGATCTCACTTTCCCTCTCTTTGCGATCTCACTCTCCTCTCTGCTCATCTCTTTTCTCTCTGCCCTCCATCAAGATTTCACTCTCTCTGCGACATCTCTCTCTTTGCTTTCTCTGAGATCTCTCTCTGCTGAGATCTCTTTTTGTCTTGGGCTCCTTGGGTTTTTGTTTGGGTGCAGTTCAGTCTCCATTTCCAGCGACTGCACTTGCATCTCCGGCGACTGCACCATTTCCAGTGACTCCAACCTTCATTTCTGGCGACTGCACCTTCATCTTTTTCATTTTTCCACTCAATTTTTTCTTTATTTCCCTCATTTAATTTTTATCCTTTCCATCTTTCAATTTCTATCTCTCCCACATCTCTATTTTTTGTCTGATTTTCCTAAAAAAAAAAATTCTATTTATTTTAGCTACTCTTAACATGATTCTCTGATAATCTTTATTTTTATTGTTAATTTGACATTTGATAATTGCATATTTTGTATTGAATTATATTTTGAATTGTAAGTTATGTTATATATATTTTGAGTTAATTATTTTCTGTGACATATAGTATTTTTTTATGTATTTTATTATATCTACCATAACTTACCATGGCGGCTACAATAACTTTATGGCAGTTTTTTGGATTTTCGTCATGAGCTGCCATCCGCCATTGATAACATTGGACGTGATGTGACACTGTGATAGTGGCATTAGCTCATGCTATTGACAGCCTATCTTGTAGCCCAATGGCACTAGCATGTAGTGTCCCTAGGAATTATCGAAGTAGTTGCGATTGAGTTTGGTCCCTAGATTGTCAATCAATTAGACCACCTTTTCCAATCCCTCACCAAAGTTTATGTTTTCTTTGTTTTGGTGCAAAATCTATCAAAGTTTCTTGTGTTGGTTCATAACTCCCTTCATATCTTCTCATAACTCCTTCCTTTACTCCATATATTTAAATATTTAAGTTTTCCTAATTTGCAATATGCCACCACCCTTCAATCTTCGCCCTTTTAATTATCATTACAAATATTTGTTTCCACCAACCTTCATTCTCCATTCTCTTGAAGACTTTCTTTTCTCTTGCATTCGGTTATGATTCATAATCTTTGGAACTCTCTGCATCAAGTAGTGCCTCTATGATTCCCGTAGACTCTTGCGGCAAAACACTCCTGCACCCCATTTCATTTTGGATGTGGGACATTCTTCCTGCTCCTAGGTTTGTTCCTAGCAAAAATGCTAATCAGAGTTGGGTCACAAGACCACCTTTTTGAACCCTACAACACTCGTGGCAGTATGCTATTTCCATCTCTACCAAATTGATTTTGTATGCTAGCAATTGGGATGGGATCAACCCCCCTATTTGCTTCATTTGGATCCTTAAAACTTGATACTTTGATTTTCTAACATGCTAGTGCTTGATTCTACAATTCTTACTCCCTACGACTCCCTTAAGATTGCTCTTCCCTCTTGCCATAGGTGTACTACATCTGACTGGTGCCTCTTTTTAAAAGGTAATAAAACTCATTTGCCTTTATGAGAATCACTATAGTTTCACTTCTTTTTACAAGACTTCCACTTTTTTTGGGACTCCCTAATTCATGATCCCAGCCATAGGGAGTCTTTACCTCGTGATGACCATCCTGTCTCTCGGAAGCATTGGTCATCTCTCACCTAGCAGGAATTACAGGATTGCACGAAATTTTCTCGCAATTACAACTGGTTCTTCATCTTCTGTGCCTCTGCGTGTATACCTTTTGGAGATTGTGAGTGACATCTGTGGTAAAGATTCTCAGTGTTTATGGAGGAATCTGTTCCCCACTTTGAAAGAAGACCATTTTCCCCTCTCCTTCCAAAGTGACCATAGGTAATAAGCCACTCATTCTTTTCTGCATCGTTGGGATTGTCAGATGAAGACTGCAGCTTGATCAATACCTTCTTCATCTCCTGCTACTTTGACTTGCTGCTCCTAAATTCGCTCCCCACTCTTTTCTGTCAAACAGCCTGTATGAGGTTTGCTGTATTCCTTCATAGCTTGAATGAATACAGTGCTCTAGATTGGTTGGGGGCACATAGGGACATACTTTCAGATTCACTGGCTTCCTTTGAAAAGATTAGGTTTAAAAGTGTGTGATTGTCAGCATTACAGGCTCGTCTTGAAGGAACTATTCCTGCTGAAGCAGAAATCATGGAACTAAACCAGGTTCACAACTTGGTTGCTAAAGAGGATTGCCTTGCAAGTCAAGGTCGCACATTTGATGACTCAGTGTGACTCTCCTCTCCTCGTTCTTGGATGCATGATGCTGAAGATTTCAAAAATTGTTGGAAAAAGTGTAGAAACACGAAGATCCCAAAAGTTGTAAACATCATCAAAAGACTAGGAATGAACATTATGGTTACTAATTCCTAGAAAACTTATGGCAGCGTGCTATTTGCATCTTTCTACCATCTTGATCGTGTATTTCAGCAATTGAGATGGGATCAACCTCTCTGTTTGCTTCATTTGGATTCTTCAGACGCGACACTTCATATTTTTAATGTGCTTTGCAGCCCTGGAGCTCATGCGAGTTGGCTGTGTACTAGCCTCTTTGACTAGTCTCAAGCAAACACACAATGTTAGTGTCACCACCTGCACCACTTGTTTGCAGCTTGGAGACATTGTGGAAGAAATTGATACCAATTAATAAGAACTTTGGGAGAATCACACCACCAAAGCTAACTGCTGTAGTTGGAGAGTCCGATGCCTTATTAACCCCACATTAAAATCCCATATTTCCAATGTGGGACTCAAGTCCCATCCCTTGCAATTGGATCCTAAGAGATGCTTCCTTGACAATATTGGATTTTGTTTGTTAATTCTAAGTAAAGTACCCATTATTCCCTCATTTAAGAGATTTATCTTTATGTCTTAGATTAATTTGCTGCTTGGCACCTTCGTAGGAAAGTCAAACAGATAGGTTTTCTTTCTCTGAATTGCAAAGGAGATTGCAAATATCAGTTTCAGCCTCCAATTCTAGGATTCAAATTGTAAATGAGTTGGAAGACAAAGAGCTTCTTGAATTAGCATCAAGATTAGCAGATGAAAAAGTTTCTACAAATTCACTGGTGAGATTCCTATACTTGCATAAAACTCTTCTAAACATCCATATCAATTAATTTTAATTGAAATAGTATTTCATTTTCTAATAAGAAGGCAATTGAAGCGCTTCGTGAGCATTGGAAAAAGTCTGAATCAAATACAATTAAACTCAAAGAGCTGGGACCATTGCTTCGGGATTACCAACGTCTTATTCATCGGCACTATCTGTAAGAACTATATTTTTATACAATTTTTCCTACATTTTTAAAGTTTGTTCACAATTGCTAAACTTGATGAGCCTCCTGTTTTTCTTTTCAATACAAATATGAATTTAGATTGATCACACACATTCTAAGGTCACCTTCCTACTGGTCTAATCTGCTACCTGATATGTTTGCATCAATGTTGCTGGGTATCATTTCTAAAATTTATAGATCCATTGGCATTTGGCAATCTTTGTTAGCTTGATGGAGCAAATTGTTGGAGAGTGGAACTTGGAGATCCAAGCAGAAGGTTTTAAACATCAATAAATTATAGAAGATAGTATTTTTCTGTAAGGATTTGAAAGAGAGAGAGGACAAAGAGTTTCTTTGATAGAAAAGGAAACTCTATTAGACAGAAGAAGCTTCATGTTTTTTTTTTTTCAGTTTATGGGTATTTTCTTGCTTTTTGATCATGACCGATGAATAGTTTGCTTATACTGCTTGTTTTACTAACTTCATTAGAGAAAGGAGTGCATCTGACCAGCAACCTGGATTTGGTGAACAAGTGCGTCAATTTTACCATGTCAAAAATGCTACTCAGGTATACTTTTGTGGTTAAATGTTTATCCACTTGTACCTCTGCCTTTTGTTTCGCCTTTTCTATGCTTTTTCATTTTTAAAAGGATGAATTAATTGCATTGTATTGCATCTGTAATATTCTTAGTACCTATGAAAATATTGCCAAAAGTCAAAACTGTGGCCATTGCTACTTCTTGGTGAAAAATGAAACTTGTACATTAGTTACTGTTTAAAATATTTAATGTATACATTGTTGATATACATTGTTGCAGACAATTAATTTAAATATGGTTTAAATCAGTAATTGATGACATTCTTCACAACCGGCTAATTACTGTTTAAAATCATTCTAGTTACACTTAGATTACTTTTAGTGAGATATGCAAGACAGTATTCTTTTCCGCTAAAATCCATTACACCCAGAATTTAGTATGTGGCAAAGTCTCAGCTGTCCATGTAGATGGATAGTGGCTAACTGGTGGTGGGGGTCACTAAAACAGAGGGAGCATAATTGAAAATATTGAAATTAGATTGTCTTGTACGTTTAAGAGTTGAAACCAAAATGCATTTTATCTATTACACAGATGCAAATATCGGCAATAAATAGAATTAAAATGCAGGGTATGGAGCAGTCCATATTGGGAAATCACTCTCGGAACTTATGTGATTGTTTCTTGTCCCAATTTTTATGTAGTTGAAGGTGCACCTTTTCCTTAGTTAGGGAAAGTGCAACGCATGCATGGTCCATAGATGGAGGAAGGGCTTGTTAGCTGTAAGTAAAGAAGCGACTTGTGTATCTAACCAGTTAGTACTTTGAGAACTTGTCATTCCTATACATAAGCAATTCAAGAAAACAGATGTGTGCCCAAACGAAAACATCATGTAAGTTATAAAAGATGTAAACTATCTATCCAGCAATTCCAGAGCACAGGTACTAGTTTTGTTGCTGATATGGGTAACAGGCATACAGTTCAAATACTGCAGCTCTGATGCTACATGGCATACAACGTACATACATTTGACCTTGAACACCTATTTATGTTTAGATGTTATCACTCTGTGCCTTGTTTTATCATTTGACTTTTTGAGATGTACTGTCCATGCTAATTAGTTAAATAGTTTTCAAATGATACACTCCTGTTATGCAGGATTAGTTAATCTGGTGATGGAATTGCCATTGCTTCCGCTTTAGCTTGAGAATATGAAAGTGGCCTCCTCATTTTATCATATAAGTTCAATGGAATATGAAAGTTATCCTTGTCTCCCTTTATATATATCATGTGTCTCTCATTTCCTTTTTATGTTTAATTGCAATACCCTTTTTATCATTTTCTAATTGGTGTTAAAACTATTGCAGTTGCGCATGGATGATATTCCAAAACTTCTGGTCGAGTACAAGCGCCTACCTATATGAATATTTGTTCGATGAAAATGACTTTTTTACCCTAGAGACAAGGAGCAAAAGAAATCCATAGTGAATATTATCTAACTTATATGAAATGCAAAGCATGGTTCCCAGATATGTATGCATGATTCACTGTAAGGTTTTGGTATAAGTTACAATTTTTAAGAGCATCGACCTTGTTAATATCCTAAAATGTAGTTTTTCTATTTTCAACATCATAGTCATACGTCGACAAAGATGTTCAATCATATCGACTGTATAATGTTGGATGTACAAAATTAATTGTTTTTTCCTCTTTTTCCCAATGCTTTCTCTCCCTCCTGTTAAAAATTATGTTTTGGAATGTTCAAAATGTTATGTGCAGTCTTCTATAAACATTCCAAAAATGATTTGACATGTATAAAGGCAATTATTTTGAAGGGTATGAGTATGTCTGACATGACATATCCAATTTTACACACGTCAAATAATAATTTGTGTATCTATTTAAGAATTTTTCTGTGCTTGAATGAGGAACTTGTTACTAGAAGTACTTGGACATTTGAATGACAACAAATTATTGGGGTGTATTTGTAATTAAATGGTTTTAAAAAAGTTAAATGTAGATTATTTATTACTGCCCCTCGATTTATTCTTTGGCAATCCTCGTGATCATTTCAAGGGCTTGAGATTTAGTTACGGCTTCAGAAAATCGAACACGGGAGATTGGAGAAAATAGATTTTAGGAGGCATGATATTATCATCATCGCCCATGGTATGATCCATGGGTCTATAAAAACCTTCTAAGAAATTAAAAGTAGGTTTTCGAACAAAAAAGAAAAAATAACAAACAAACAAACTAAAGAACAATTTATATGAATGTTGATGTTCTAGCTAACTAGATTCTCTATTAACTAAAATATGTATTTACTTGCTCGGCTATTAGGTAGATCTTCAGCATAATATGATGAAATTGCAACTAAATAGTCAATTTAGTCCCTGCAAAATGTATAGGTTATATTAAGTTCTTGACTAATGAAAGTTACGTTTGTGGTTCTTGAATATGTACTATTTTTCAATCAAATTAGTCTTGAGTACTTGACATTATGGATTGAGAGAATTGATTTGACCCATGAATTATATATTTAGGAACTAACTTAACCAATAAATGCTTATTTAAGTATCTTGACAAATTTTCATCATTTATGAACTAACATGACAGATTATAAATTTTTAAAAGACTAGTTTAACTATTTACTCTAAAATGTTGTTGATGCCATAGAATTAAGGTCCTGTTAAAGGACCAATCATACTTTTTCTAACGTTTGTCGATTCATTGGCATTACTTAATAAGTTTTGATGAATAATTTATATAAGACACTAGCAATGTCTGTGGCTGCTCATTGCCTCTCTCCTTTCAATTAATCCAATGTGAATTTGTTTTTTTTTTTTTCCTTTTATTTTCACGGGTCCGTCAACAAGGCATTTTGAATAACATGTAAGTACATTTGAATACAAGCCGCTGAAAATTGAATAAACAAAGCTAGTGAATATAATAAATACACACACAGGTCATGGTTTCAGTGACATAGATTCTATGGTCTTGCATAGCTCCTCCAATTTCTTCATCCTCAGTCTTTCACTCTCAGTCAGCAACTATTAATAAAATTGCAAATATGAAAAGAGATACATTGTTACCAAGACAGTTAAAAACATTAACACGACTTTGAAGCGTGAAGACTTGGAAATCGAACTATTAAGTACCGTACCTCAATTAGTGTGGCTACCAGGTGAGCCTTCTCTTTGTTCTTTTCATTGAAAGCTTCCAAGGCTTCTTTATACTCCTTTTCCTATCAGTAAATTTCAATTTTAGTTTTTACTCTTGTTTTGTAATATATATATACACTTTTTCTACCATTATTGTGTTCTCAAAGTATTTTGGAGTTTACATTAGAATCTTTGTTATGTAGCCTCTAATGAACACAAGTATCATACCTTTTTCTGGTAGTTCAGTCCCAGTGGCTTTAAATCTCTGTTAGCCAAGTCAATCTTCTTGCGTACCATTGCAACTTCCTTCCGCATAGGATCATCCAGCACTTCAAGCTCCTAGCAGATTAATGTATATGACAAAAACAACGCATGACATTAAGGGTTAGCATAAATGATGTTAGAATTTAACTTCAAGAACTGAAGTTGTCTTCTTTTAACATGGTAATAAGAGTCTTGCTAGTAAGTTTCCAAAGAGTTAGACACTACTTAATGAGTCAATATATAATTTTTTATTAGAAATCACATTCAGGATGCATTAGATATTTATGAAAGTATATTCATAACATTTTTTCATAAAAAATTATTTTTAATTTATTAATCAGTGTCCTAAAATAAGACCAAGCTCTAACAAAATGATGATCATGTTCAAGAGTTTTAGCTCACAAGTTACACCAAGTCAGTTTGGTGTCCCTTGCCTTCACTTCATCTTACCCTTGAACTGTCACCAGATTTTACCTTATAACATTGAAAAGTAAATGATGATCACGAAAGTTCTCCTTGTCATCAAACTTACTTCCCAAATGTGTGCCAAGCGCCTTGTCTCTTCTTCAGCACGACCAAGTTGAAGTTCAACCTTCTCTCTCACCTCCATCTTTTTCCTCTCAATCTCTTCTTCCTTAGATTGAAATGTTGAAATGGCCAATTTTGAAACTTCCTCATCTTCACACTCTTCTGTTGATAGCCTCCCACTGCTTCCAATACTCCCAAGGTTCTTCATTTTCTGCATTTCCTCTCTATTGCTACAGACTAGGCCCATATGCTTCCACAGAACTTACTCCAACTATTGTGTTGTGTTTATTTCAACTAAAGGCTTGTTTTGCTTTCACTTCAATATTCTTCCTTTTCATCTCAACAACTAGTTTTCTCTTGACTTCTAAATGCAGTAAAGATACTCCCAGGAGCTCCTTGCCTTTATGAGAAGTTTGTTTCTTTAATAGAAATATTGAATGCATTTGAGGAATATCATGGGGATACCTTAAGAGTGCCACTGATCAGTAGCACTCAAGTTTTAGCAGTGAAGTTGAAACTAATCTTGTATTGCTTCCACAATGAACACCTACTTGATGATGGATTATGATGAAGTTTTGTGTTGTTTGCCAATGGATAATTTAGAACCTTTGCTTTTCTCAAAAGGCACATGCAAAGTTGCAATCTTATATTCAAAGTCAGATAATGGGCGAGGCTGAGTGGAGACTGAATAGGGAAGCAATATACGTGTTTTGGGTGCCAACTTACATTCCTTCATGCATAAGATATATTTTTGGTAAACCTATGTAATACATAACTCTTGTGAATCAATTATCATCTTGGTTAAGTAAAGCTAACCCCAGAAATTAATACAATTATTAACATTCTATGGCTGAATAATGCTTAGCCCCACTTGTAACTTTTCTGATAAACATTGAATGAACACAATTGCCAATAATAAAAGAATGATGTAGCTATACAGCACTATGTAAACAGCTTTGAAACGAATTTAATTAGAATACATTCTCAGAGTAAATTTTTTATATATAAATTGTTATTCAAGCATGCACTATCAAATACTTAAAAATTATTAACTTTTGTAATAATTATTTTTAAAGTTATACCTAAAGTAATTTCTAATCTACTGTCAATGTCAAAAGAAAAGAAAAAATATAGCTTTAATGTTCAAAACTGGACATAAAAAGAACTTGGTGCTCAGATACCATTTCTCCTTGAATAGTTGGGAAGGTTTTACTTGTATTTGTTTAATGAAGCTGTAGTTGATGGATTACTAGTTAAAACATGGGAAATGGATGTTCTGTTAGAATTTAAATTGCATATAATATGCTTGTTTCTTTCCTCAATATCTATGTTTTAGAATGAAAATTTTATTAATATAATATAATAAAAAGCTTATCTCAATTGCCATGCTAGCCATGCATGCTTTCTCTACATGGTGACTAATAGCCCCTTCTCCCTTGTATTCCTTGTTTCATTTATCTGCGGAGGTGTTGCCGCACAACGTTGACTTTCAGATCACGGCTATATTTGACTCGCATTATATATAGAAATGAAACTATATGTAAAAGAAGAGAAATATCCAATTTATATATGAAATTTTCTTATACAAATTAAAGATATAACAAACTTAGGTGTCAGTATTGTGTTTATAACTATTTTTTATCCATATAAAAGATATCTTTGAATCACAATTAATACAGCTTATTTGAAAGAAATATTATTTTTTATGATTTAATATTTTTAATTTTCAATAAATAATATACTTATTTATTTATGAAATCGTCGTTTCATATATTGATTTTCAATGTTTACATGAGGTCTGAGGTATAAATATTAAAAATGATAATAGCTTGTGCATGAGAATAAAATACTAATTGTAATAGTATTTGTTTGGTTTAACACAGCAAAATTTATTTTAAATTGTTAAATATAGTTAAAATTTGTGCATAAATTAATCTAACTATATAATTTTATTAAAAATTGTAAGAATTAATTTTTAACACTAGTCTAAACAAGTTCATAAAGGATCTAGGATATAAGTTTCATGCATTTATAATAATTATAATCAAATGTAAAACTTTATTCATACTTAATTAGTTTTGTTTTATAATGGACTGAAAGAGGTAAAGTTTTCATAAAAACAAAAACAAAAGATTAAAGGTTATGATTTAAGACTTTAAATTTTTACATCTTAATATAATATACAAAGATGAGTGATAAATGCTAAGTTTTAGTGTTATATGAATTTGAGCACTTATTTGTTTAACTAAATTAAATTTAGATTGTAATTTCCTTTTAATTTATAAGAATTTAAATTTAAATAATTTATTTGGTAGAGATTGTGATAAAAATTTCTCATCATTCTCTTTTATTAAAATTTTTGATTTATAGGAGTTCAATGAAAATGAAAAGTAAAAGAGACTACAAGATTTATTTTGATTTATTTTTGCTCAAGTGAGAATCTCTTACTTCTCGCTTAAGTGAAAATTTGTAAGGCAAACTTGAGTTTCTGCTTAATTTTTGCTCAAGCGAAAGTCTCTCATTTGAGTTTGAGCGATAATACTTTTCTAACTTGAACACGACTTATTAGTTTGAACAAGAATTTATTTACTCCACTTTTAAAGAACAAAGAATTAGAAAGCAAGGGATTAAATGTAATTATAATGGAAAACATTTCTTTATTCTTTTTTACTTTCTTTCTCTAATTGTAATATATGTCATGTACTACTGTATCTTTTTGAGATTGAATGTAATTTTTTACTTTAAAATATTTTGATGATTAATATATAATTATCCATTTCTACATGTGTTGGTTATTTTATTTTGTTCTTAATGCTTGGTTTTATTTTAGCTAATAGTATTTTGATTTAGGATATAAGGTTAAGTTTGAAAGCAAATCTTATAATTGGATTGAATGAAACACACTCAATATATTATAATGTTAGAGATAAATTTTAATATATCGATTGTTTTTTAACTTTTATTTTTAATATTAGAGGATTCATTAAATATTTGAAGAATTATTATTCATTAAATATTTAGAAAGTACATCTACGTCTATAGAATAATTTCTAAATATTTATTCATTAAAATATAAAAAAGGATGAATGATGAAATTCAATCTTAGCTCAAACCTTTATATTTTTATATCTTAGTAAATTTTAATTCTTGATTTTTTGAATTTCTCATCCATGAATAATTTGTGCAAACATTAATATTTTTTTATTAAAGTTTTTAAGTAGGATAATAGAAAATACAAAGATATCTACTAATTTTTGTGAATATGACAACACTTGTTTTTTAGTAAAATGAAAGTTTGGTACGCTTGACAAAATCTTAACAATGAATTTAATAGTAATAAATTTAAATAGTTAAACAAATGTTATTATTTGAACTTAATGATAAATTAAGAAATATATTTAATAAATACACTTCAATGTATAAGTCACTAATAAAATAATAATAGAAAAAAATTATTATTTTTATATTATAAATATATTTATTAGTAAAATTTTTTATCATCCTCTTATGATGTAAGGTGAGATCAATCGACATAAGAATAAAATTATAAAACAAGTTAAAAATTTAGCCTAAATGGAGTACCCTAAAATTGCACTTAATGCTAGCATTTTTTTTGTCAAATTATATTTTAATTCAATATAAACATATCTTTAATTTTAAATTAAGTAAAACAAAATTATTTTAAATCATTAAATATAATTAGTATATACAGAAATTAATTTGAACTACATATTTTATTAAAATACTTTTTTTATTAAAAATTGGAAGACTTAATTATAAAACTAAAAAGCTCTACTTAAGCATAAAATCAACTATTTAAACTTTTTTTTATGGCCACCAGTTTAAATTTAGTATTTTGTCATATAATTAAAGGTTTTTGTTTACAAAATTTAAAAATAATAAATTTTATTTAAAATAATATTAAATATATTTTATAGACAGTGATTAATTATTTTTTTAGTTTTAATTTTTTTGTTTATTTTTTTTATTAAATTTAGTTCTCCAACTTTTATTTTGTCTTAAACTAATTTTTGTTATCTTAAATTAGTTCTTTTGTCATAACACAGTGGATTTTCATTAAAAAAATATATATATTGTCATAAGCTGCATTTTTTATTAAGGCTATCTTAATTTGTTTAAAAGTCATGAAATGTGATAAAATTTTAAAATTAACATTAAAAAGGAATAAAATTTTAAAAAAAATTGATCAATCATTCTCAAAATATAAATATTACATAATTGAAGTAGAATGAGTATTGAAGAATGACCAATTCAATCTCTTATTTTATTCAATAAAATGAAATAAGAGAAAATATTATATTAATCACAACTTAATATCTAAAAAAAATTCTTTGATTAATATCAGTAATTATAAAAAAAGTATTGAAAAGTTAGATTTGATTAAAAAAATTATTAATTTCTGCACTTTAATATCTTATTGTAATCAATAGAATTATTAAATTTTTTGTTATATTGATTATACAGCATTTAAAGAATTTTTTTAATTAATTTCTAAAATCATCAACAAGATTACAATCAGATTTGATTGTGATATAATGAAAAGATTAACTTAAGATACAAGTTAAAAGAATAAATTGAAAAATATTAGAGAACAAATTTAAAATAAAAAAAAATTAAAATTAAAAGATCAAATTATTACTTTTTCTTATTTTAAAAATTACTTAAAATAAATCTTTAATATTTTAATACTAACATTTTCTTATAAACTAATCTTGTAAAAAAAATTACTTCATCATCATAACTAATCAGTTAATTTTGCAAGTATACTGTATTACTATATATGATGCAAGTTCACCTGCAACTTTGTTATACATTGAATTGAATGTATCTAATAATTTTGAATTTAAATTTTTTTCAGTTTGCACAAAACTGAACATTCAAATTTTTTTTTAAAAAATTGTAATTTGTATAAGTAAATTAGACAAAAATAACTTAAATCTAGATTCATTTTGGCTTTGTTTAAGAAAAAATAAAACTAAAGAGGTTCGGTGCGATAAGTGGAGTCAATCGGTGTTCAATAATTTCTCAGCATTTATTAATTAAATATGTGAAGCCTCAAATACTATATAAAATTTGGCATTTTGACTATAACTAGCATAATCCAGAAGACCATGAATCCATAATATCAATCTTTCAGTTTCAGTTTCACTGCTTCTTAACTCAGGAAGCCATTTACTTTCCAATTCTAATCCTCAATTTCCCCCCCCTTTTTTTTATTGCAAATTGAAACTCCTAAATCGCACACAAAATCTCTTATCATGACTCATCGTTTCTCTCTATCGATGCAACTTCGCTCTTTCCCCCAAAAGGTGTGAGTTTGACCATCACAACGACAATAAATCTCTATCTTATTCATTAATTGCACCTTATATTTTTCGCTTGATCTCTATCTGCAATCCCCTATCAATATCATTTTAGGGTTAGGGTTTTGGTGGTCGGTAGGGTTTCTTAGATCCCTTTTGGAATTACCTTAATTCCACCAAAAGGGCATTTAGGGTTTGCTTTGTTTATTCAATTAACTATGCAATATAGACGGCGCGAAGAGGAGCATGCTGCACTGTCTCCATCTTCGAAGTTGCGTGCCCCGCACCGAGGTGAAGCGGGTTCCGACCCGTTTAGGAGGAATCGTCGAGACGTGTTGGATCGGTCTCCGGTGCAGCAGAGCCCTTTGAAAGTGGATGGGGTGAGAAGGGTTGGTGGTGGGAACAAAGGAGGAGGTTCTGAAGGGTTTGAAGGGAGGGATTATGATTGGCATTTGGGTGGTCGAAGGAGTGGTAGGGCTCGGTCAAGGTCACCTCCTGCTGAACAAGTGAGGAAAAGATCACATTTTGATGATGGGGTTGACCATAGAAGTTGTTCACCCCCACCACCTATGGGCTTGAGAGCTAGATATGAGTTGTCAAAAACCATGGATTACAGTGTGGATAATGAAAACTTGGATGCAAAGCGAGCTTATCTTAATAGAGAGAAGGAATTGATTGACAGCAGATTGGGTGGTGGGAAGGGTGTAGTGGATCAGAAGTTTGTGATACGTGAAAATGAAACGGGAGGTTCATATAGATATAGGTCAATTCCAGATATGGGTGTAAGTGTAACAACAAGATATGAAGAAGCTGGCGGGCACTTGCCTCCAATGTCCAGGGCTGTGCCCATGGGGAGATTTGAGCATGAGAGACTACAGCACAGGGACACTCCACCTATGGATAAGATACCCATCACAGAATCCCACAGCGGGACAGAAAAAACTATTCTTCATGCAAGGGATGTTTCTTATGCTCCTGTATCTCCCTCTTATGCAAGGGATTTTGCAGGCACTTCTCACATGAGGGATTATGGAAGCTCCTCCATAGAAATGCGGAGGAGTGATTTTCTATGCTCACATGACGATGGCATGTGTTTACCTACTACATCTTATGATCTATCAAGGAGCAGTCGAAAACTTGCAGAACCTCTAGGGTTTAGTGGCCATGGGCAAAGGACACATGTAGACACTGCTAGAGGTCCTCAAATTGGACATAGGAATATGATGTGTCACCAGCGATGTGAGGTTAGTCCTCCCAGGTCTGAGCATGTAGATTATCTTAATTCTAAATTGCAGGTAAGAGCAGCACAGGATGAGCGTTTGTATCAATATGATGATTTACGTAGAAGGATAGCTCCTCATGGTCGATTGGACTATGAGCAAGCTGTAATGGAATATGATACTAGTGAATCTTCCAGACCTTATATCTCAAATCCAGATTTTGATAGAACTGGTAATAGGGAAGAATCTTATGGAAATCAAAGAAGGGGTAATATACATGATCACCCTGCATTACAGAAGCCAAAGTACTTTGATTATCATGATGTTAGAAGAACATCAATTGCATCAATGCAAGGTGAGGCCTATTTGCAATCTGGATATAATCATCTTGAAATTGGGAAGAGAATGCCACAAGATTATGAAGTATATATGGGTGCACCTGAGGCTGATCGATTATCAATTTTAAGAACAGAATATGAATCTCGAAGAGATAGTGATCCAGGGCTCCAGCAAGAAAGGTTTCAAAATTCACCTTTGTCTAAACATAATTCAGAAACTTATAGACAAGCTGTCAGAGTGCAAGAAATGAGACAAGATATTGGCATTCATGACCATTCAGATAGACTTATGAAGAGGAAATGCAATGCCAATGATGAAATAGATATGCATGATTTGAGAACAGTAAAACCAAGTAAATGGAATGCAACTGAAGAGTTTCAAGATGTATATGAAACTGAAGAGTGGGTAGATGTTGGAGATATGGATATGTTGTATTCATCTGGTAATGTTGGATTCAACCATAAGATATACAGGAAGTATAAGAAAGAATATGATGAATTAGAGAATGAAGAAGATTTTCCATCTGATGAGTGGAATTTACCTCAAGATTCTATGGGACATGTACAAAGAAATTCATTTCGATTTCAGAAGTATTCCAATCAAAATATAAAGCATCATTCAAAGTCCAGTTCTTCAAATTGGTACAAACCCCAGCATTTTTCTAAGAGAAATGCAATTCAAAAACAACATAAAGTTTGGAAAAAGTATGGATATGATGAGGATAACCATACAACTAATGATGAATCATCTGAAGATTTGATAAATGCTGCAGAATCTGAGCCAACTGAGGGCTCTGAGGAGTTTAATCAAATGGTACATGAGAATTTCTTAATGTACTCCAAGAAGTTGAATCTGAACTTATTTGTGCAAAGAAGGTATCAGGACCAAGGAAAAGCGGGTAGTTTGTACTGCATCGTATGTGGCAGAAGGTCTGTTTTCTTTTCTGTGATGCTCTTTTATTAGACGGAGCACTTCTGTTCACATATTGAATAAGAAATTCCCCTAGTATTTAACTTACAGGTGGAGTCAAGTACGTGCTATTATTCCTGGGATCACCTTTTAGGTTCTCAAACTTTGGAAGTATGCATGTTGGTATGTGTAATTGTTATACTTTAATAAGGCAGATGTGTGGACAGTTTGATAGCTCCAACCCCCCTTGCCAATAGGGTCAAACATATGGTAAAATGCTGTGCGGATGAACATGAGTCAGAAAACCAGCTGAACTGGTGTCTTTTCTTGTGAATGATGGTGAAACTTAGACTTAAATTCACTGTTCTGTTGCATGGTCTTGAAGTTCGGTTAAATTTTTTTCTACAGCTGGCATCTAATTGCATTTTCAATTAAAATGTAAATAATTTGTTAAGTAATTATTTTAGCCTTTAGATACCCATGGAATTGCAGATTAATTATATTTAGGGAAGAAAGGGAAGAAAGATAAATGATGTTCAAAGGGTAAATGATCCTGAATTATTGTCTTTGGATTGACAACCACAAAAATTATGGCTCTGATATGTCAGTACATCGTCATGGTAGGAGAATGTTTGTAGGTTAAATTTGCTAGAACCTTTAAGGACTGCTGGGTGTGAAAATTGATTTTCCTGGTACAACTGTGGCTGTGATTTTTGGGTTTTAGATTTTTAGAGGAAGAGGATGGATTTCTCAGAGATATACTTGTGTCATGATTAGGACTAATATAATTTTAGGTGTATATAATGAGGTTTTAATGATTTTTCTTCTAAGCATTAATCTATTAAGTCCTAGTAAATTAATTACTGTTGGTTTTTCATCATATTTTTAGGGAATTTATGAGTGAAAAAACCAAGTTCCTTATCTTAGGTACTCTCAGGAAGTTGATGACATGCAAGTTATCATGTGTCTGTTATTACTATGATAATCAAAGGGTCTTGTATATCCTGCCATATTCATTGATGCATTTACAAGGATTATATTGAGGTTATTTTTGAGACTATAATATTTTATTTATTTCGACGATTGCCATTGAGGTTATTTCTGTCTTTTGAGTATAATATTTTGTTTATCTTGACTATTGCCATGATTTTTTTCTTTTTATATAATGTTTGGCATCTTTTCCTAGGTTGACTTGAACTTTGTGAGTTACATTGAAATGAAAATAGTTTATCTTTCTGAATTTCTCATGTACTTTTTATGCTTGAGAAAATTTTATAATGTACAAGTTATCAGTAAGTTTTATTTTTTAAGATAAGTATAAGTAATGTTGTATAACTCATAACATGTTTATTTGTCCTGTTTATCTTTATGGTAACAGCTCCTCAAAAGAATTCATGGACACACAACGCCTAGTAACTCATGCTTATATGTCCCATAAGGCTGGGCTGAGAGCAAAGCACTTGGGTCTTCACAAAGCTATTTGTGTTCTGATGGGATGGGATACTGTTGTTCCTCAAGATACAGTAACTTGGGTTCCCCAGGTCTTGCCACATGCAGAAGCTCTGGCTCAAAAGGAGGATTTGATTCTTTGGCCTCCTATTGTTATCATCCATAACATATCGATGTCTGATGACAATCCACAAAACTGGAAGGTTGTGAGTATGGAAACAATTGAGGCATTTCTAAGAGGTGAGTTTGTGTTTGGATGTTGTGACATTCTACGCAATTATAATTATTTAAACAACACAATTTATGATGAACCAAATATTACTTAGCTTTATGTTTTAGTTTGATTATATGCATAAATAATCCATTTGAATATGCATTTTTAGCAAAATGGATGTTAGTATGAAACTTTTCTCCTTGGAATTTGCTCATTAATTGTTGCCTTGTGAAAACTGCACATTTGGCAATTTTTTATTTATTTTAAACTTGCAGGCAAAGGTTTTGTGAGAGGAAGAATTAAATTATGCCTAGGGAAGCCTGCAGACCAAAGTATTATATTGGTGAAATTCCTGGGCACGTTTGTTGGGCTGGGAGATGCAGAGAGGCTTCATAAATATCTCTCTGATAATAATCGTGGTAGAGCTGAATATGAGAGATTAAAATCTGAAAGTATCAAAAGCTGTAATATCAGAGAGACAGATCAAGGAGACAAAGTGGAGAATATTCTCTGTGGTTACGTGGGAATTGCAGAGGACTTTGACAAACTAGATTTCAATAGTAAGAAATGGAGTATGGTAAAGAGTAGGAAGGAGATTGACGACCTGGACAATGCTCCTGTTAAAACTGACGAGAGGCGATAGTTACAATTATGGTTGAAGTCCTTTGAGGAATTTCATGGACTCCTTGACGCCAAGAATTGAGTGTTCTAATTGGATAATCTGTTTGTCCCTATGTTTTTATTAATAGTTCATATGTATATGAGTCAGGAACTGGAATTTCATTAAAACGTCCTTTGTAAGAGATATGTTTTCAGTTTCTGAATGTTTTAACTGAATTTGACTGAAGGCTGATGCAGAATCTTGAGCTTCTGTGACTGTGAGGAGCAATGTAGCCTTTTGTTAAATGGTAGTTCAGGATGAATGTCACCGATGTTCTAAAAATAATATTTTATCATACTCTTAGGGTGAGGGCAAGACTACTGTCTAAAGCCATCAGTTATTTGGAATTTACATAAAATGTATTTTATGTATTTGTAAAATGTAGGTTCTGTTCGACATTTCTAAATTTGTATTATATTTAAATCAGTTTATTATAATAACTTTATTACTGACTAATCATGAATAGACATTAAATATAGGAGAGAAAAAAATTTGTAAAATTTTGTAATTTGAGTTCGGATTTCCAATGGGTTTAACTTGCACTAAATTTTGGTTTTTAGCGCTCTCAGTTACTCTTATAAAAGGATGCCACTCAGCTGCATATAAACAAAATAAGCTTTTAACACTATTACTTCGTTGATGTCATAGAGATTTGACAGTTTTATGATATCTATCAGCTGTGTTACACAAATTTTACCTTTTATCTGGTTTGGATTGGTTGTTATATTTGAATCAAAGCAAACATAGGCAATTTTAATATATAAATTTGTATTTTGAAATATACCGAGAGCCAGATCAATAGAATTCACTAGGTAATCTAAATTTTGAAGCAAATCCATCATTCAAGATTCCCTACACGTGCTCAACACAATATAGGCTTCCAAATTATCCTACTTACAACCATTATCAGTATTGTTAATGTATCTCCATAATCTTTGGGATAAATTCTACTCAGAACTAAAATTGTCTCTTCCAGCAGCATGTTCATGCAGACTCAAACTTACGTTGCATATACCATTGAAGTGTTTAATTTGAGTTTCCTTATTACTTGTGTACTCAACCGTTGATAACAAGGAACTTGTTTATGTTCAAGTTCTTAACTAACTTCAGTTTAATCCATTATTAATGCATTTAGTTATGTTATGAACGAAAGCAAAAGACAGAGAGTTCAATCTTGCACTAACCAAATGGATAATGATAAAAGGAAATCAATGTCCATAAAATTGTGTTCGATGTGTTTCTAATTCTAAACATCGGCCATGGGTTTGGAATGGTTCAAATTGTTTCTAATTCTAAAGATTAATGTGTCTAAAATCTAAATAATGGGATTAAATTTTTTTTGTAAAATACTCGGCCCAACCTGGCATCTTGTATTAAAGCCTTCTGCCCAATCCACAATGACAACCATACATTACCTAAAATAGCCTGTTTGTCATAAAGGAAGATGTATAGAACCTGTAAGTCTAGTTGAGTTAAGCAATGGGACATGAGAGATCAGGAAACTTGTCTGTTGTCATCATGCCAACAATTCTTATTTTATTTAACTCTTCTACTAATGGGATCATAGTTTAAATTGCAACAAAAACCACCTCTATTTCTACCTGCAAGGACGTGTTTGTTATATTGTACAAATTTTTGCGTTGTTTCCAGTGAAAGGATTTTCTGCAGTTACCACAACAAATTCATTTGGCAGAGCTGACTAAAATCCCGCAGCCTTTTCAGAAGAAGTGTAGGGGGCTCTACTGAAGAGAACAGCTTAATACATGACTCCTAGGAGGTTCGACAGGTCTTGTTCCTTGTTTATGTAGACTCAGTAATAATTTGTTCTTTATGTCTATATGATTGCATATTCATAATTACATTCTTAATGCACGTATTGATGGAAAAGTTAACTTATTTTTAAAGACTTACATATAAAAATTGTAGGTTTTTTTTTTTTGGCATTAATAAGTAATGATCATATTTACTCAATTTTATAAAATATCTTACATTTGAAGGATGTTATTTTGATACCCCTTTCTTTTTTGGCATACAATATTCGCGGACGATCTTCAATAAAAACAGAAGGTAACATATGAAAATATACTAATTTATTCCATTTAAACTGCTACGTCATGTCCTGTTACTAAGTTGTTTGCTGTATTCCCATTTATACTTGTGAAGGACAAAATAACCAATTATTTTCTTCTTCCCAAATTAAATACTTTTCCTGATTAGGAAAAACACAGTTTACCTTCTTTGGAAAATGGTCCATTCCCACACTAAACTTCTTAACTGTCATTATCATGTATCATTTCAAATTGTATAATATGGAAGGATATGTTAATTCCAAACCGAAGATGTTGAACAATAACCAATAACTAGCTACAAGTGGAAATTCCTCACAGCATTGGAAACCATAATGCTACTTATTGGAACAATTAATGATACAGAAACTTTTAAATATCCTTCCTCTTTTTTTAGCTGTGTCTGTTCTTTCCATTTTTTTTATCTTTGGTAATTATCTTTTCTGGAAATTAAAGATCTTGATACCGTATGCAAAAACAAAAAGAAACAGTGCAACAAAAGCAACATGAGCCACAGCAACAACTCCTAGGAAGCCATATTCATAGCCCATCTGTTTCTCAAGGTATGCTTTTACTGACATTGATCCAGATCCAGGTACCTCAACTGGAGTATCTTTGTCACCCACCTGGGATGTCAGAAGGCCATACATAGTCCAAGCAGTTGGACACGCCCAGTAATACCACCTCCACCATATAGGAATTTGCTGCAAAAGTGAAAAGCAGTTAATGGTTTTACTTTGTTTGAGCTGTTAAAGAAGCACTTATGTTTTAGCAATTAGCATGAATAAAATAATAATTTATCCCTCAAATTAACACCACTAGACAATATAATTGTCCTTGACTTTGACAATTGTCAATTAATTTAGTCCTAACTTTGGCATCAATGGTCAATTTCGTCCATAACAATTTTAAATCAGGTAATTAATCCTTGATTTTGACAGCTATCGCTAATATAGTTCCTGAATTTGACAACCATCCCTCCTTAAGTTAATTCGGTCCGTCAAGTTAGGGACTAAATTGGACTAAATTGATTGATATGCACTAAAGTTTAGGATTAAAATAACCGAGTTGTCGAAATTAAAGATCAAATTGACAGATTATGACATTAGAGACTAAAAGGATTAACAATTGTTAATTAAAGGAACTAAAGTTTATTTTTCTAAGTTTTAGAGACTAAAATAACTAATGATAATAATTTCAAAGATGAATACAAATGTTTGTACTTTATTTAACATAGAAACGAGAGTCCTAGAACACACGAACATCAAAGTTCAAAGAAGTGCATCCCGTGCTCTTCCTCTATCAGCACTTGATTGTGTTAAGAAAAGTGCTGAACACACAATGGGTTTGTGTGAGTAACTTTAAGATTGTAAATGGGTCTGTGCAGATATGACACTGCACACAATGGTCCAAAAAGGGGTGAGAATTTAAAAAAATTGTATTACTTGAAGGATTCTAGGGTGACTGACTCCCTGTCAAACAATCGTGGAAGAATCCTATGCTGTGATTATCCAATTTCTGTTATAGTTCTTAATTTGGCTGACAATTTGAAATTGAAAAAAAAAATCATTTTGTTTTATAACTGTGGAATAAGCTATTTCCGGTTTAAAGTGTACATGACCAATATATTATGATAAAGGAAAATGATAAATCAAATATTAAGAACTATAATACCATTTTCTTTAAGAAGATTCTTTATTATAAAAAAATTAAAGAGGTAAACAAAATTAAACTTCTTCTAGTTAAAATCATCTTATACATTTCTCTATCACTTAACTTTATCATAAGTTGAGGAGCATAAATTAATTTTAATCCATGTGAGAAGTTTGATTATGTTATTTGATTATTTATTTTATTTTCTTCTCCTACCTATACATATTTTTGCTCAAAAGCTTATCCAATTTGACTTTTAGAATGGATTTCAAAAAGATTTCAATATGTACATTTGATGTGTTATGTGTGTGAACTATATTTAATGGAGGCCAATTTAGAATTTGTTTTGTTACTCCCTGACTACAAATATATTTGATTTTGCTTTGCTATACTTACCGATTTTGGGATAATGAAGCCCGAGAATATATTCCAGAAAACTAGAAAGAAGGACATAATAATTGCAGCAATTTGTGGGTTTGGTGTCAGAGCCATAGTCATCATGCCATAAAGTGTGAAGGTGACAAATGACATGAACATGAAGTAGTAGAACCAGAGGAACTTGTCAGCTTGCCAAGGGAACCCCATCATTGAGTAAAGGATAAGGGTAAAGGTCAATGACTGGATTGCAACATAAATACATTCTATTGCTACCTGCAAGGCAATGCTTATAGATACCATAAATTTGCTCAGTCATTGGGAATTAGCCCATGTTTGATGATAACAGATTAATTTAGACAAATAATCGCTTATTTTTCAAAAGCTTTCAGAAAAATGAAAGAAAAAAGAGTGAATACTTTTCCAAAATAAATTAAACCAAACATGCACTAAGATTTTCAATTATTTTTGCCTTGCTTTCATTGAAAGGATAGCTGCATTTACCTGAGCAATTGCATAAGGAAGAGCTGAGTACATTCCAGCTGCTCTTTCACGGTAGAAGACCGTTCTTTCTATTGCAATTACAGGTTGAACAGAGGCAGTGTTGGTGGCTCCAAGAAAGAAAATAGCAGAAAAAGTAGCTCCCATTAGATTCATAAGATCTTGCTCCTTATCTCTACAGACAAAAATAATGTCCTCACCTAAGTCACCTTTCATGATCGTGAAAATAACCTTTATCTTTTCATTTTTAGGATTTTGGTAAATGCTTTTTTGATGCCTTTATCAACACGAGAGAGAGAACGATCAACAAGAGTTCTTGTCGGTGCTTGTGAAGTTGTGCAATTTTATGATAACTATTGAGTCACAGACTATTGACAAGACTGATTATTCCTACAAATATTCCAACTCAACGTATTTTCTCCTGAATTCTAAAGTTTCAATGTGGAGTATCATCCAATATGAACAAAACTTTAAGTTTTTCAATTACTGTCCAACCTATGGTACTCTTGGTCTTACTTGATTCATGTGTTATCCTAACAAAAGTTCACGAATAACTTTTTCTGCAAGTACAACACTTAAAAGGAGAAAATGTGGACTTACGTTTTATCTCCTTTTTTCCAGAAAATGAGTCCAAAAATAACACCTACAAATATTGACATGAAGTAACGGACAGCATTATACTGTGGGTTCCTCCAGTAGGACAAATGCTGTTTCCATAGGCAAGCTTTACATTGAGTAATAAAGGACAGCGAATATTTAGTAGGGAAATTAATGTCCTTTGTTCCCTCTAATGGCATGCTTAGCTCTTTTATAAGCTCTTGATTCCTCCTGATAAGAGTTGATATCAAAAATGAAAAGAGAAGACCATGTCTATTTCACATTGAAAAATAGGAACAATGACAGTACTCTAGGAGTGCAACTTCAAGTGATACTTAACTGGTACAATTCTGACTTATTGTACAATTCTGCAAAGTCTACCTTAAGCCGAGACTCGACTGCAGGAGAACTAATCTCCAAAATCCATGTGGCAGGATTGTATCCATGTTTGATTCTTGGAACTCCTGGAATAGCCTGCAAGTAGTTTACAAGATTACTAAATTTGAGAATTTTTTCATTTTGCATCGCAGAAGTCATACTCACCTCAAAGTACTCTATAAGCTTCTGAGATTGTTGACCAAGGGGGCCACTATATATGATTTGTCCTCCTCTCTTCATCAAAAGAAGCTAAAGGAAAGATGAAGTTAAGAGAGCATTGTGAGTTCATCATTCTCATAAAAATAAAAGTTTCATCCTCTTCCAAATCTTGGGAAATCATACCTCATCAAAAGCTTCAAATATGTCAATGCTAGGTTGATGAATTGTGCAGACAATAGTTCTCCCTGTATCTGCCGTATTTCTGACAGTACGCATAACAATTGCTGCAGCTCTAGCATCAAGGCCTGAGGTCGGCTCATCCATAAAGATGATAGAAGGATTGGCAACCAATTCTACTGCAATGGTGAGTCGCTTTCTTTGTTCAGTTGATAAACCATCTATGCCAGGAAGGCCTACTAGAAAATTTCTCACTGGATGTAGCTCAACAAGGTTCATTACTTCCTCAACAAACATCTGTAATAAGAGAGTGTTGAAGAATAATTCTGTTCATAACAGTTACAAGTTACATTGATGGAAGGTGGAGATGATTTAGATGCGTAGTTTATTGTGTTAGCGTGCTGCAGGAATAGAGAGATCAATAAAATGGTGTTATTTAGCATGCGTTCTTAAACCTGTCACACAGTTTTATGTGGTTCTACCCTTAATGAACATTATATAATCTCTTTCATTTTCAGATAAAAATATAAGATCAGAACCAGCTTCTAACAGATTACATTTAAATCAAAGGACAACTCTTGGCAGAATAACATCCATTTACCTCTAAGCAACTAAAATATCTACTCAAGTGGTTGTTTTTGGCTTTCCATTCAATGGTTTCTTTGAGGCACCAGGACTAAGCTTAGTGTTTGTTCCAATTTCCAAAAGTGAATGGCTTTCTATTCAGTGATTTCTTCGAGACATCAGGACTAAGCTCAGGTTGTTGGAAGGGTGAGGTAGGATTTGGGTGATGGACTTCGGCACAATGGACTGATGGAAAAACTTTCCAGTGTGCCAAAAACATATAAATGTCTTACAACTGTGAACTTGATCTAGCGATCTCATGAAGCTCTGGGAATTTAGTTTAAAAAAGAATTCTCTGAATCTTATTTATCCATAGATTTCTATAAATTTTTTGTAAGTTTTTTTTCCCGGAATAGAACACATGATCTAACGGCTGAACATGGACCCATGGTTTTGACTCTATCTATCCTCTTAAAGAATGAATTGTCCATGAAAAACAAAGGTCACTTTCACATATCTGATTATCGAGATTGACAGATACAGTGTTTTAATATAAATAGAAAAGAAAAAAATTCACGAGAAAGGAAAATGGGGGGGGGGGGGGGGGGGGAAGGGAATTGGAGCTCTATATGAAAGTTGACAAGAATAAAGCACACCTTCCGTGTTTCTCTCTTGACCTCTTTACCAAGACGCAGCCAAGAAGAAAACACAACAGATTCATAGACAGTGATATTTGGAGAATGGATATCATTTTGTTCACAATATCCAGTAATCCGAGCAAAAGTTGCTTGGTTCTTTGGGTAACCAGATATGCTGATGCTTCCTTCAACATAGCCACCGGTCTTTCTTCCAGCAAGAACATCCATTAATGTCGTTTTTCCAGCACCAGTTACACCTACTAGTGCTGTTAGTACTCCAGGCCTGAAAGCACCACTGCAGTCTCTTAGTAGTTGAAGGCGACTGTCTTCAAATCCTTGTTTTTTCATTTCCTGACATGAAAACACTGTTATAACATCATAAAGACATCAGAGAATTACTACAAATGTAAACGTAGTTAATTAAAAGCCATATATGTCACCGGTAGGAAAAGAGCAGTGAAAAAATTGATGAAGTGAATTATAATAGGAGATGATAAAAATGAGACTAGAGTGTAAAGAATTTACAGTTGGCATATTGACGTAGTAATTCACGTGATCAAAAGCAAGTGATAGAGGCCTAAAGGGTAACACCATTCCCTTCTTGGTTGCTCCAGTGTCTGCTTTAGAAATTGAACTCCCTGGGGTGTTTTTTTCTGCCATTTCAATGTCTGCATTTAACCATTTTAGTTTGTAATTGAAAAGGAAATATGACATTTGGTGTAAGTTTCAACATTTAAGCAAGAAATATAAGTTGAAAACATGACAAAATCTTAGAGAGCTCCAACAGATAATTCTTTACAAACCATGTAGGACAAAGTACACATTCTGATGAACGTGATGAAACCAAGTAAGTTGACATGTTTGTATGTTACATGCTTTGCGTAGATATATTGATAAGAAAGAAAAAGGTAAGATTTAGTACTTTCAAATGATTTATCAGTTGAAGCAGAACTCTCTTCTGTAGTTCCCTTCTTCTCGTTTTCCTCCTCTAGAATTATAGGTTTAGAATCTCCAAATGCTGCAATTTAAAACATCGTCAGAGACAGTTTTATGGCAGTAAAACAAACAAGCAATGTGGGAACTTACGATTCAGAAATGACAGTGCAACAATAAAACAAGTGTTGAAAAGCAGAGAAAATCCTAGGAGAGCACCAATACAAATCCAGTACCAATAATCTTCTGTAAACATGCTTCTAGCCCTGAGAAGAGCCTTTCCAACTGTGGGCTCAGGAACTCTTGGGTCCATATTGGGCTGCGCAAACAATAAATGCATGCAGTTTGGCAAGAAAATGAAATAAAGAATACTTTTCAGATGTTAAAGATCTTACAGCACTCCATCTCTTGTCAAGGAATTCATTGATGACAACGGCATTCTGACCATACATCAAAGGAGAAGCATAATAGCCCCATATCATCCAAGGTTCAATGTTATCTGTAAAGGAGATTGTGAATTTGCACGAACCATTCTTCTTGACCCAGTTACTTAATGAAACCATGCTTTTCATTTTACCAACGAAATAGAGGGGGCAAAAAAAATAATTGAGGCTCACCTCTGGCAATAATGAACCCACCAAGTACAAAAATAATTAGTATTACGAATGTAGCTAGTGTATTAGCCACAACTAGTGTTCTTCCAAGAACAGCAATGAATCGGAACAGAGATAAACCCATTTGATGAACGCAGAAGAATGCTAGTAACTGGCGAAAAAATCTGCAATAATAGCTTAAATTCCTTATTGAATACAGTTAATTGCTTGCTACTTGCAATTCAATAAAATAAATGGAACTATAGAAGTGGATCAATTAATTAAACTTCCAAAAATTTGCTCCCTAAATATAAAACTGTTAATAAAAAGTATTCCTAAATATGCACCTAATAGTACCAGGAAACGTCGAGGGGTTAATAATCATAGATAGATGACAGCTTAGCTGTTCATAAAATACGCACACATAGATAACTAACCATAAACATGCAAGGATGAACACATCCTAATTTTCACTTAAGGAATAAAAACAGTTTATAATAGGTAACACCTTTGGAATGATTGATCCCTTTAGATAAATTGACAAATTAGTGTATTTTCATACCTACTTGCAGCTGGAGCAAAGCCTATAGTGTAATAAGTAAGGACAACCCATAATCCCGACTCCACAAAAGAGAGAGGGATTCGAAAGATCCATATGGGCAGTGCAAAAGCCCATGCTGGATAAAATAACAAATCTCTCTGCTTGAAGAAAACAGGAAGTCTAAAAATAGTCAACGCAAGCTCAGCCATTCCATTGAACATTATATTATTGAGACTGAAGAATAGTGCACCATAATATTTTCTCCCATCACTAAGTTGGCCACTTCCCATTTCTGATCTAAGAAACACTGTCATAGCAATCAAAGACATTATCATAATCTGAGTAGTCTTAAAGATATATATAAAAGCACTGCGCTTCAACAGTAGCCACTCTCTTGCAAAGCATGACTTAAAGAGTTCTAGTTTTGAGATCCCATATTTATCTTTAACCAATGCAGCAGGATGAGTTTTAGTGCGATCATAGGGAACCTGAAGCTCTTGGGAAAGTTGCTGGCCAATGCCAGAATTGTTGAAGTGAGCTACAAACTCAGGCACACTGATATAACGGTAAGGTTTGTTCCTTGAGAACCAGTACTGTTCTTGGTCCTTTCTGGAAGTAACCTCTTGTAAGAAATCTGCAACTCCTTTCCTTTCAGGGCATCTGAAGCCAACACTCTCAAAAAAATTGAGGGCATTCTCCCTTGGACCTTGGTAGACAATGTGACCTTCTGAAAGTAAGATTATGTCATCAAAAAGGTTAAATGTTTCTGGTGCAGGTTGTAAAAGAGAGATTATCATTGTAACATCCATGATATGCACTAGCTGCCTCAAGAACTTAACAATCTGAAATGTGGTGGAACTATCCAAACCAGTTGAAATCTCATCCATTAAGAATACTTTTGCAGGTCCTACCAACATCTCACCTGCATCCATTATGTGAAAGCCACTGATTGCGAATTGAACAGGAGACTTTGAAATGGAAAGCAATTGAAACAGAATAAACTTTTCACTTTAGTAAGATAAAAAATTGGCGTAAATATATTTTTGGTTTCTCAAAATCTACTAAATTTTTATTTTTGATTCGACAAAAAAAAAAATTGTTTTAGTTCTTACATTTTTTCAAATTGTTAGTTCTAATCCCTCTCATGGACCTGACTTCATAAAAAAGTAACATGTAACACGAAAATTAATACGTGATAATATTTGAGTTAATTACATCATGTTTAACAGTGATTAGGGACTAAAACTAAATTTTTAAAATGTAACAAATAAAACAAAAAATATGCTTTTTTAGAAACTACAATAAAAATTTGAAAGATTTTGAGGATAAAAAATATATTTAACCTTAAAATTTTCTTGCTAACTATTTTCATACCAGTTGTTAACCGCTTTTTCTCTCCACCAGATATTCCCCTTCTCATCTCATCTCCTACCAAAGTATCAGCACATATTTCCAATCCAAGAATCTGAGTCCATTTTCTTTGATATGTCAGACAGCAAAAATCCGGGTATAGAATCTAAAAGGACAGTGATCAAATAGAAATAGAGGCATGGCATCAAACCTTAAGAACATAATCTGTAATAAGACTTGTTTCTTGACCTTCCATTGCTGTGGCTTTCATGAAAGCATCTATCTCTGGATCTGGTTTGATTCCTGCTTGCTTTTCTCGCCTTGTCAATTCCACTAGCAGATCATGCCTTGTTCCAACTCCTAAGCAGCGTCCAGAAAAGTCCAGTGTCTCTCTCACTGTCATCTCTCCATGATGAAGATTATGTTGACTAATATAAGCACATGTTCTTTGAGGAACAAACTCTGATAACTCATGACCACAGTAAGTGATTCTTCCTGATACCTGTTGATGTAAATATTCAAGATGCATAATCAAAATTCGAAACTTGGATTTTATATCGTTTGTTTTACTGGACTTCTTGTCAATCATTCTTAGGTGAGAGGTAAAATCTATAATCACTATATTGCTTAACATAATCGTGATTGAAATGAGTGGAAAAGATAAAGCAGAAGTACTTGACAGAAGTAGAATATGCAGACACTAAACTGTGTCGTCTCTTAAATTCTTTTACATATGAAACATTACTTACTAATCACTATTCTCCACGTAACCAATACTGATAATGACTTATACCCCAAAATGGTGGAAAACATTTGTTTTGTATTAAATATATTTTTATTCACTACATTTTAGAAAGCTTTTCCTTTTAGTTCCTCTAAACTGTTTTTGGATTACAAGGTTCAAAGAAAATGCTCTAGTGTCATTCAAATCCATTAACAATGAAATGAAAAGATGATTGGAAAAAATCACTGCATCCTTTGTTAAAATGGAGCATGAGGATGGCCAACCCTTAAATCCCTGTCCAGTTTGCCAGCAAGAGCCTGTAGCAGTGTAGTTTTTCCTGATCTTGGAGGCCCCAAAAGCAAGGTCAATCTGGAGAGTGTTTTGAGAAAGATAAAATAGACAGAAGGAAAAATAAAAGTTAGCAATATACATTAAATAATACCTTGATAAATTTGTGAAAAAGCAATTCTCACATTAGAAACATAAAAGAATACATTTTCCAACAAGAAAATTACTTTGTGGAGAGTTCAACCATGGGGAACTAAAACTTTGTAATTGAACTCTGAAAGCATGAAAATTTTTTCTGTGGCTCCGGATATGGTGCAGGTCACGTAATAACATGTATATAATTTTAATATGAATGTAGGACACTATATAATCTCGGATCACCCAATAATTTGTGGTTAATCCATTCATATAACCCACTTTTTTTGGATTATAAGTTTCAAGATTAAGTCCCTTCACCATTCAATCTTAAGGGCAGATGCCCAATTCATAGTCACTGTTTTTTTTTAAGTTAGGAAAATGCACAATGTAGCATGAATTTAACAAAAAGGACTCCATCAGCTACCTTGCTGGCCTGACAATGCCACTAACATCTTGGAGGATCTTGACAACACTTTTCTTTGAGGGGAGAAGATTGACTGATCCAAGAACTCTCTACTTGCAACAAAGCAATATCAAGAAATTGTCATTAGTGTGGCACTTCCAAGAATAAATGCAACGAGCTATTTAGTTTTAGAAAATATTTTATTTTTACTTTTAATTATAAAATTATTTCCTTATTTTTATTTTACTTTATTTTCTAAGCATTTGATCAAGAAACAGTAAAAATAACATTATTTTTTTTGCTTTGTACTGTTTTTGGTACAATTTAAAAAAAAAACAAAAAATGGAATAAAAACAAGATAATAATTTTATGATTAAAGATAAAAACAGAAAATAAAAAAAATAAAACTAACTAACTCCAAACGTTGAAGATAATTGCGTCACAATTCCTTTCCTAGTATGACATTAAACTAAGACTTAAACTAACCACTGTTTCATTATTTCGTCTCCAACTTCTTGCATGTAATAGATTTGATCAGATATGACACCCTAAATAAGGAGTACAGGATTAATTACCCAAAAAAAAAAGTATTTAATATATTTTATATTTCTAACATAATAATAATACATAAATGTTTTTATTTAATATTTATTTTATAATTTTAAAAAAATATAACAAAGCTCATTAGAAAATCATAAAAATTAAGCAAAATGTCAAAAGTTAATCTTCGTAGATTACATTCATTTATTTGTAACAAATTGTCATCGTTATATCATAAATATATGAGAATACTCATTTGTTCGCCTCGCTTGATTTTTGTTATATTAAGTATATCATTTTCTATATATATATAAAATAGCATATTTCAATTAAAACAATTTACATTCACAATTATTTCTTCATTTTTAAAAATACTAATTTTTATTATTCCTATCCGATAAATTTAAATTCTTATGACAGTAAATATATTTGTATTGTACTTTATTTTTTCTTAAAATATGTTATTTTCCTGTTATATTTTTATCTCTTGTATGTATTTTTTAGTTTTGCTTATAAATTGTACTCATGTAATACACAAAAGAAAATTATTATTTTAAATTTATTAGTAATTGAAATTCGTTATTTTTGTTTGTATTGATTTTCTTCTCCCATAAAAATTTATCTATAAACTTACTCAAACTAGAGTTAAGTCTTAATCGAAAATAATGAATAAAGAGTTTTTGTTTTCAATATTAGTCATTGCACTTATTAAATATTCACAAAAGTTAGAAATTAAAATTTAAAAATTACAGGGTTTCTTTTCATGAAAACAAAAAAAACCCTACCTATATAGGTGATTATGTACCATATGTAATAGGAAGCTAGCCGCAACAAAAAGAACTTCATTCCCTGAATCAATGATTATTTTTTATATTAATTTTTTTGTGTATTTAAAAATATAATATATACATATAATATTTTTTATTAAAAATAAAAATTATAATTATAATTATATATATTATTAATTTTTTATTATAAATTTTTAACACACATAAAAAAAACTATATTTTATGCCTTTTTCGCTTTCGGCCCTACTATTTTCATCCAAACTGTCAACAAATCATTAAATTAACATTATTATTAGTTAGTATTCTGTAAAATAAAATATATAACATATATATATAATTATTTAAAATATCAATTTTTAAAACTTATTTTAATTTAATTTTATAACTACAAATAATATATATCAAAATATAAAAAATTAATAAAATTATAATAATTTTAAAATATAATGTATTTTAAAATAATATAAATAAAAGATAAATATTATAACTTTTATATAAACAAAGATATTTATAAAAAAATGTAAATTATTATACAAAAAAGAGTATAATTTACACATTATTTTTTCATAATTTTATTATTAAAAAGTATGTGTGACAAACTATACTAAATAATAATTTTACTAAATGTTTCACCTTTTTCAACCTAGAGTACTCAACTCTTGTGGTAATATAGAGGTTGATTATTTAAATATTTAAAAATTAATATTATATATAATTATATATTTATAGCACAATAAAAATATTGTTTTATTTTTATATATGCATTTTAAAAATTCTAAAATTAAAGAAAACACAAAAAAATGTCCCTCTAGATATATATGAAAAAAACATTTATCCTTAAATTAACTGCCAGTGTAGCACTTTTTACCTACAGCTACAAGCCTACCCAAACTAAGAGCATGGACAAACATAGGTCCCAGGACCCTAACAGTTCAAAGATACAAGTGATGTTTCGAGAAGTTGTGATGGTGTTATAACACATTCACCAAGCCTAACAATCTCACTGGAGGTCCCATCATTTATTCTTATAATATATTTTTTAATTAATCTCAATGACATTATTTATCTTCATTTCTTTCTTATCTTAATTATAAAAAATGTTGTATAATTACATTTATCTTCAAAAAGTATCTAAAATAAAGTTATCTCTACATATTAAATTAAAACATAGTCTTTTGAGAAAAGTTAAATTTTATAGTGTATTTTTAAGTAAAATATTTTTAAGTAAAACATATGTATCATTTTAATTTAATTTAATTTTCTAAATTTTAAATTTATTTTAATTACTTATACATATTTTTTATAATTTGAATAATTTTAGTTTATATTTATATTTATATTTATCTAAATTTAAAATACTTCAACAATACTCAAGATTCATTCTCGTTAGTTTTAAAAAATATATACCTTTTGGATTATGAATGAAAATAACTTTAATTTTTTAAACGTGTTCAGAGTATAAAATAATAAATTAATCAATAATATTTTTATTAAAAATTATAACATTTAATGTTATTAATATATTAAATTTAATAACTTTAATTAAATTTATTATATAAAAAATTTAAATATGTTTCATTCAACACATGTCATAAAATTAAAAATGTTTTTTACGATTTCAAGCAAATAAGAAATAAACAGTGTTGTTCATGTCGTAATTTTTTACATCTCTACTTTTGCACACTCAAAAAATTGAAAGATATTATTCCATTTTCTAAAAGAGAGTATATAAAAAGAAGAAAAATAGAAAGAAGTGTACAAATAATATTTTTAATTTAAAAATTTTAAAAAAATATTTATCATATGTACAACTAAAATTTTTTTATTTTATTAGAAAAATATTAACATTATCTTTTAGAATTAAGGATAATAAATTAAAAATATAATTTTATAAAATATCTATAATTTACTACATCAAAAATATTAAAAAATTAGTAGATATAATATTTTTTTAGTGAAAATTTGTTTTTTTTAGATGTTTAAAATTAATTCTAAGAAGTGAGGATAGCAAGACTTTTTTTTTCCTATAAGCTCGTGAGGATAGCAAATAAAGGAAACAAGCTTTCATACAAGGGAGGAGAAAAAGTCCTCAAACTGAAAAAAAAATGTATCATTAATTTAAAAGGAAAAAAAAAAAGTTAAACTGCACATTTTATTTAAGATCCTCCAAACAAATGTATTAGTTAAGGAATATTTGTTTTACCTTAAGCAAATATTAAATAATATTTTAGACATAACAAACATATTTCTTAAAAAAAATGTTTTACTATTTTTTTTTATCAGAGTTTGACTTCATTAAACCAACTATTTATTAATTAGTGGATGAATTTTTCCTAAATCTTTCTTTTTTGGAACTATGGATTAATAAGATTCAAAAAAGAAATTCTAAAAAAATGTTTTGTAAAAGATTATAACTTTTAGTATAATTTTTAATGTATTATGGACCACAAGTACTGAATTGTTTTTTATATTAAAAATTTAAAATTCTTCACATAAATTTTTAGGATTAATTTCAAGTATTTAAAAATATTTAATTTATTATCTTTCTGGTATAATTAATGTTTTCATTTTAAGTAAAATTATTATTTTAATTAATATTTTTTAAGCATCCATAAAAGTGTCTATACCCAGAAAGAGAATGAAAAAAAAAAAGCAATAGAAATAATAAGCAATATAATAAGACAAAAAAAAAGAGAAAAAAAATGAAAAATACAAAACGTATAGACACTGCTTGAATGTTTAGAAATCGAAATTGTATTTTTATTTCTATTTCCTTGGATTTTCCTTTATATATATATATATATATATATATATATATATATATATATATATATATATATCTGTGTGCATAAAAGCTGGGTCGGCAAGCTTTGTATTGAAACCAAAAATATAGAAATGAGGAAGGTAACATATTTAATCACAACAGCAATACCTCCATGGCATTCATGGTGGAATTCACTAATGTTGGCAGTGCTCTGGTTCCATTAAATGCATCCCCTTCCACAAACAAATGTTCAAACCGGACTTCAACCTTTGGAATCTCTATGGCCACCCTAATACACAAAGGATAATCAGATCACACAACATGTATAATCCAAAATACAGTCAAATACAATTAAAATATGATTTGTTTAGTCCAAACATAAAAAACTAAGTGTCATGTCCATTACTCAAATCAAACCCAACAAAATAAATAATTATTTTTCTGGTGGTGACATGAACACAAAATCAGAGAAAGGAAAATAGTTGAGGTGTTTACATCTAGTGAGATAAAATAATAGAAGATAGAGAAGCAATAAATATGATGAAAACATAGAGATAGAGAGAAACAAAAGGTGTTAAATTAAACTAGTGTTGACACTGATTAAATGTTTAAAATAAAATTGTACGAGAAAGGCAATAACCTATTAATTCTCTCCCTCATCTTATGGAGAAACCTCTCATTGTCATCTTCAACAGTCCTTAATATACCATCAAGGAGTTTCTTCTTCTCCTGCATGTCAAGCTTGGATAAATCAACCTCCTCATAGTTGAACCTTCCACTCTCTTCTAAGACTCTTTTGACTATGCTTTTCCTTAGCCTCTCAAATGTTGGAAGCCTCTGTATAGCTGCCCACTTGAGCTCTTCTTCATCAACTTCTTTCTTACTCCTCTCAAAAACATCACCACCATGTCCACTCCATAGTTCAGGAACACTTGCTGATACCCAACTCCTCCTGCTCCAAGATCCAATGCTCATCCTCAAGCTGCTCAGCGACCTTGATACTTCTCCATCCAAACCTTCCTCCATGCCTATGACCTACTATGAGTGAAAGTGAAAACTGTTGTCTAGGAAATGACTGGAAATTTTCAGAGTATTATCCCAAATGATTTTATGTGTGGAAGTTTGAAAGGTTGTGATGAGTTCTCATTGGGATGGGTCATCGTGATAAGTTCAAAACAACTGTTGGGACAGATCAGTTGATCGATACAATTGGTTCCATTCGCTCAAGCATAGATCAAACCAATTATATTATTGTATGATTCATTTTATTTTTTTATTTTTAACTTTTTTAAAATAAATATATATCTGAAACCCTCAAGTCTATTAGTCTATTCTTTTACTTTTAAAAATGTACGCTTTAGATTTTAATAATTGAATAAAAATTTAATAGACTTAAATATTAATTATTTTTTATAATTTTGCTAATTTTTTTATTTTAATTACTATATTTTGTAATATTTTATTTTATTTTATCAAAGTGACTCCACAAAATATTAACATGTAAATCACATCAATAAAAGGAACCAAAATATAAAAAAAAAATGTACTAAAATAAAAGAAAACTCGCAAAAGTATAAAAATAAAATATATTTAAGTCAAATAATATTTTCCTTTACAACTAATAAAATTTATACAAAACAGAAGATAATAATTGACAAACATAGATTATAAAGTGATGTATTAAGTAAGTAAAGAAGTATATAAATAATAGTTAACATTAAAACATAGTAACTACGTTTTTTTTTAAAATAAAAAAAAATAAAAAAAAATAAAAAATAAATAAATAAATATATATATATATATATATATATATATATATGTGTGTGTGTGTGTGTGATATTTTTAACAAATATATAATTTTGAATATTAATCATTAATATAAAATTATGTAATAATTCTTTTAAAATTATCGTATAAAAATAGCTCGATAAACTCCAAGCTTGCCCCACCCACCCCAACTCCAAGAAAGACTGGGTACAGAACGGTTTTTAGTAATTTTGTTGGAAGATTTTCAGCGAAACTTCGTTAGCTTGTCCATACAAAAAAATACAACAAGTGGTTCACAAATCTTATACACGACTAACTTTACTATTTTAAGAAAAATAATTTTAACTAAAAATATATTTAAAAATTACAGTAAAAATCTCTAATTTTAGAATTTTATTTTTAGATAATTGAAATTAATAATTTAAAAATATTATGTATAAAAATTCTAAAATTACACGAATAAAGCCGAAATAAAATTTCTTAACTGAAATGGAACAAATGGCGATTCCATATTTCCATTGCACACATGGTTACGGAGGGGAAACGTAATACCTGAAGTAATCAAAGTATCAAACAACCACTCCTTTTTAATGCTGAAACGACCACCATTTTAATAATGTTTTCTTATTATTTCGTTATAAAAATTAAAGTTAATTAACGCCTCACATCAAAATGCAACTACTGGAGATGGAAGTGTCTACACAATCAGATATTTCAATCTTCCTGGCCCTTTGTTCCAAACAAAGGGAAAGAAGAAAGAAAATAAAATAAAACAGAATTTTAATTGAAAAAATATTAATTTTATTTTTAAAAATATTGTTTTGTGTAATTAAATAAAACATTATTAATATCCTGTGGCACCAAGTGACGCCATCAATGCATACAACCACATGCATATACTCGGAAAAACAAATAGGTGAAGTATAATTTTTCTTTTTTAATAGTTATTTTTAATTAAAATTTTATTAACCAGTGTTTTAAAATTTTTATTAAAAATTACTGTGTATTTATTTTAAAATTTTATCTTAATTATTTGTATGATAAGATTTAATATTAAATATTTATATTGATTAGTATATATTTAATCTTCCTTAAATTCACGTATAATTAATAAATTTATAAAATATTATAATAATATCACAATTAGATAATAAGATTATATAAACAACTAATTGGTAAAATAATTTTATAAATATTTGCTCGTACGAATACGAGTCTTATGGTGATTTTATATAAAAAAAATCTTATAAATTATATTTAAAATATAATTTAATTTAATAAAAATTCAATTTTCTCAACTTTTAATTTATTTAGTTTTAAAAATTTTAAATTTTTTAATCATTTACTTTAAATATTTTGATTTATGAGTATCCTGGCAAATCTTTGAAAGTGTTACTTTTACAAATTACAATTAAATTGAGTATTATATAAACCGTGAGTTTGCATGAAATAGATCATGGATGAATTTGTTGGAGGAGACAATATAAATCTTCGAGCAATTGATAACATCAATTCCCAAATTACTATAAATTGACAAGGAACGAGGGTATTTCTTATAGATTGAAGAAAATGAATTTACTAAACTTGATGTATATGTTAAAATAAATTATATTATACATTGCATTAAGGGCAAGGACTTAAAATGGCGACGAGAGGTTTCCTTAAGGGAAGCACTTATAATAACCTCAAATTTGCAGGTATATATATGACCAATTACATATATGTACGTATAAATAGGAAATAGGTAACTAAAGTATTTTTAATCGCACCTCTTATAACAAGAGCTTTTTTATTATGCTTTTTACATTGTCGTGAAATATTGATATTTTTAAAAATAAAATAATATGTAATTCGATTATAATAAATATACTTTTTTGCCGAAATTGTATCAAATTAAATTACTACTACTGTATATAATGCTGTGTTCAATCATTCATAGTCAAAATTATGGAACCTGACACCAACAAATGAAAAATAACTTTCTTATCTTTTTCTATATTTTATTATTTTATAAAATACATATTATAAAAAGTGGTATATTATTAAAAAGCATTTGAACGAAAAATTAAGACAAGTGTAGTTGTCTGGCCAAGAAACAGAATGAAACTGTGTTGTTGTCCATGCATTGATTGTTTACGGATGAGTGTGCAGACTTTGTGTTAAAACAGTTCCAAAATCTATTTTGAATTAACCTTTTCATCAAACTTAGCCCTCTGCATTAATAACACTGCAATACGTGTCTAGTTTTGCTCACTTTTCTTATTTAATTTATCATTTTCCATGAGCAGCACCTTTCAAATTTTTCCACAGATATGCTCTGCGCTATTCAGATATAAATTTGAGTCAGCTTCTCGTTGATTAATGAATCTCTTGAAATATTGATTAAAAATTGCTCAATTAATTATATATTCTTATCTAAAAATGTTTATCTATTTTAATTTTTGAATATATGTTTTTTAAATACATGCATTTTAATTTATTTGCAACTTGGTAAAATAATTATTTAACGAGTAAAAGTTTTTCATTTATTTTTACATAAATATACTACTAAATACATTAATCAATTAATGAAAGATGGTTGTAATTTAAATTATAATCTCAAATTCAAATCCTCATTAAATTCAACTGTATTAAATATTCTTATTTTAAATTATTAAACTTTTATATTTAGTTATATTTTTAATTAGATACGTGTTAAAAAAATAAAAGCATTATGAAGTTCTAAATTCACACGTAACTCATTAAATCTAAAATATTTAACTTACAAAAGATTACAAAGTGATTCTATAAATTTGATTTGTTTACAATTTAATATCAACCTAACTTAAACTTCAAACGTATTATTGAATGGAACTAGAAATTAATTCTATAAATAAAAAACATTTAATCTTAAATATGCTTTCTTTTATAGAAAAATTAAAAAAATTGAATCAAAATTGTACAGTAATGCATGTAGCTGTTTAGTACAACTTAGTGTTAGCATGTTTCATGCTCAACAATAAATTTTATATAAATCTTTCTAAGTTGTGCAACTTAAGTTAGGACGTTCATTATATAAAGAAGCAAGGAGAGAAATTTTTTTGTTGCACAACGTTCATCTTTGCAAATAGTTATAATTTTAGTAAAAATATGGCTGAAAGCTTTTATATATCAGTTTACTATAATGACTGAGTTACAAATATCATAAAAGAAATTAGTAGTAGTGTTTGACTGATCTTTATAGTTGTACGTGGATCATCAATATTTATGGTTGTAAAATAATATATTGCAATCGTTAGAGCATGAAAATAATAGACATATAATGGAGATATTGTATAAGTTGCCCATTGCATTGGATAAGGCATGATTAAGTTTATAAATTTTTCAATTTGTATTGATAACGATGTGAGTGTGATATTTAATTTTGTCTAATTTTTAAAGATTCACATAATAGAAGTATTTGTGAATTCGCAAGATAGTCAATCTAGCTGTAAAGATTCTAATTTTCAAGATTTAGTTGTTGGGCGTCTTGCTTCCTAATTGATCAAGTTCACATAAATAATTTTGAACAATAAAGAAGAAATGTTAATGATAGTGTGCCTAGTCAAAGTTTTGCACAACTTACTAAATTATCCAATGGTTAGCCTATTGCTAGTTTTGATTGTTCAATTTTGATTGAGCATGAAGAAGATATAGAAGAAGAATAATTTGATGGCCTGCAACAAATGAAAGTAATGAAGGATTTGATAAGGATATTACTCAAACACAATATTTTATGTTATCGTATGTATCACAATCTCAATGATAACCTAGTTACTATTCAACATTGAATTTAAATATGCAATAAATTCAAGTAACGTTGATACTTAAGTAAACTGAGTTGAACTCTTAAAACAAGAAAATTGTTTTTTATATGCAATCAAGAAAGCTAAAATATTAAAAAATCAGTTGAGTATAAAGCTTATGAGTCAAAATATATAAAATACTAGGATAGATGTGTGAAGTTTAATAACGAATACAATTGAAGTATTTGTATTATTTATCATTATAAAATGTAAAAATAAGAAGTCTAAAAATATAATGGATTACACACATATATTTTATTCAACTTTGGAAGGCTATTGATAAATGGATGATAATGATACTATGTATGCATCCATCTCATCTTGTGTCATACATGTATGACTTATACATGAACACAGTCTCATTTTAGATTATAAATCGCACTAAAATAATACAACTTATGTATATTTTAAATTATTTTAACCTGGTGGATTATGTAATATAAACAAAGGATATAGTTTGAGTTTCCTAAAAAAATAAACATATTTATAATTATATATTTATTTTATTTAAAAAATATGAAATTATTTATCAATTTAATTTTATTTACTTTCAGACTTATCATAAATTTTAATCAATTCATTTTTTATAAGGTAGATAATTAAAAATAAATATAATTTGTTTGAATATATATATATATATATATATGAAGAAGAATC